AATTTGCAGATTAAATGATCAATCTGGATTTCGGAAACATGCATGTATGAGTTAAATTTAAGTTGGACTAGAGAAACACGAGTTAAAAAGTCAGATTAAATTGAAGTGAAAAATATCTTTTAGTTATCGCTCATTCAAGTCAATTAATAATTCAATTTGATAATATTCATTAATTTTTAACTCAATCTTCGTTCAGGTAGTGCGGAATCAAGAGACTCCACTAACACCAACATTGTGGAATGAACATGAGCTGATTAAGAATTTCTTTAATTAAATTATGTTATGTTTTTGTATTTGTATTTGTAAATTATAATTTTGTATTTATGTTATTTTGTTTGTATTTGTGTTTTAGTGTTTATGTATTTGTTCTCTATAGACTATATGCTTGCTGGTTTTAAATTGATGAGAAAGTGGTGAATTGAATTAAATTTGGAGTAGTTGATTGTGAGGGTGTGTAATTGTAAAAAATAAAATTGTAGAAATTGTGTGGGTATAACCGTCAAAATTGAAAACTAGAGTCAATAGTACAGGTAGACTATATGCTTGCTGGTTTTAAATTGAAAACGGGCGAGTGGGCGGGCTGGGTAAAGACCCAACCGGTACAGATCTAAATAGATCCAAAATATTAAACTCGAACCTTACGCTATACGGTTACAATTGGACTTGCAGGTATCCATATTGTTCACTCAAATTTTCAATTTTGACAGTTACACCCTTATAATTCCTACAGTTTTCATTTTTTACAATTATACTCCCATAATCAACCACTCCAAATTCAATTCAATTCAGCACATAAGTTCACGACCAACTCAATTTCTCATCAATTTAAGACCCGCAAGCATATAATCTATAGAAAACAAGTACATAAACACTAAAACACAAGAAATTAAATATGTAAATTTGAAGAAAATCTGAAGCCCAATCTCCATCAGGGCAGTTTATAACAAAATGCATAACAAAATGTAGGTAACATGGTACACTCAAAAGTTTTCTCAATGGATGTGAATGAATTCTTGTGGTAGAGTACATAGACCATCCTTACATATTATAATAGGAGCCAATCAGTGCTTATACATAACATGGATTAAGCAACATTTTTCAACTCCCTAACCATGTTTTAAAACCTGATCCGTTCAACCGGTCATACCGGATCTGGGGCCTTTACTAGTCCAGACTCCAGACACTCATTAAACCTGGTTATAGGATTTAACCCTCATTAAACCTGGTTATTTGAAACAGTAGCAAACCATTGATTCAATCGGTCCGGTGCCAAAATGGGGTCAGTGAAAATGCAAAATCCCTAACAAAATTTCTTTCTGCATTTTCAAAGTTCCATCTTCAGATTTCAATCTTCATCTTCAAAGTTTCAAAGCCACTCTTACCCAAAATCTCTTTGATCGTTTGGATGGTTTTCCTCACTCCCACAGACAAAATTTGAGTCCCACTTTCGATTCACGCTGACCCACCACTAGTGACCATCTCAAACACCACACGCCGCTGCCACAATCACCACCGAGACAAAAACCCAAACACTCACTAAACTCCAATTTCAACACAAACCCACCAAGTTTCCACCCCAGAACAAGAGACCCAATACGCAGAAACACTCAATTAAAGAGCTTGAAATGCGTAAAGTGTCTGGTTTCGAGTTTGGTTGGTTATAGCAGGATCTCGAGCACCGGCAGTGGATTTAGGTTGTAATAAGCGAGCCCAAATAACTCCTTTGAAAGCTTGCTCGACTTCAAAGCCGTTGACTTAAACAAGCTGAGGTCTTCGTAGTTCAGATTCGTCAACCAATGATCGTTTTGAAACTGCCAACTACATTTACAGGCATTAATTAAGCCACTCTGATCGCAGAAGAAAGATCTACTACTTTCGTGAGGAATTTTATGGGTTTCGTTTGAAGAGTTTGAGATGGAGATCACCGCTGATCTTTTGAAGTTTGTTAAAGACAGCTGAAGGTCGTTGAAATTAACCAAGTTGGGAACTCATAAAGGGGTTAAAGAAAGTAGAAGCATTTAGAGATTTTTTGCTCTCTACTGACGTTGAGCTTTTGCTATAGCCTCCTTTTGTGCTGACCTCTGATTTCTAACTGTAACTATTCTCAAAATTTAATATGGTACCAGCTTAGTATTTTTGTTTTTATCTTTATGTTTGGCTGAATAACGTCCACCCACCCATAGTTTGTCATAAAGACATGTTGGTACCCAAAAAATTTAGAAATGATAAACACCCACTCTCCGTCAGGTCTGTTAGTGAATTTCGTCAGTTGAAGGATAATGTGGTAAATTCAAAAACAAATAAAGGATAATTATGTCATTTTATCGCTTTCTTGTTCAGTTAAACTCACCTTTCTTCCATCAACGCTCCATCTTCCACATTTCTTCTTCAAAGCCGCAGCCGTCGCTGGCATTCTTGTTGGCTTTCTTTCCTTTTTCCTTCACCTTTTCTGTTGATCTCACCTCCCATCACCATCCTCCTCCATCCCCAACCGGATTTGAAAAATCGGTTTTAGAAATATTCAATCAAAATCAAGTCTCTCTAGCAACCATGAATTCGATGTTCAACATCTTTGATGCTTTCTGTGCTGAATTCTTTCTGCAGAAGGTGAGGGCTTCTTTTTCTTTTTGCAACGAAGAAGGTAAACAACATGCAGTCGGAGTCGAAGGATTCTACAAGGGTGAATAAAACTTCCCACATGGAGAAGAAGCAAGTGGGTTTATCTTCATCAAACCGAGTTTTGGGAAGGCTAGATTTGCTCCAGATTTAGATGGACTCAACTATTTTGAGACAATCATCTCCTATTGATTCATTTTTGTGCTTATTATATTGTTGAAGAAGCTGATGCCTTTTTTATTGAAGAGCTACAAACATATTCTCTCTCTCAAGTGAAGAGTTTTTACTTGTTTAAGGGAATTTAGTTGATTCATAGGAATTAGAGTTAGTGAATACAGGATTTTCCTCCTCCATTCTTTCATTCGTATCTCTGTAAAATCAAGATTACTTAATTGATAATATGCTTTTTAATCTTAATGTTTAAGGTTTGTTATTCTTCTTCCTTTTTCTTCCTACTATTATTATTTGGGGTAAATAATTGTTGATCTTGAGCAAACCGACTCTCCTCTTCAAAACCCATTCCTCCACTAGCACTCTCCACTTGTCATTTGCCGTCCATGACCTGCATTTGTCACTGCGAGACAGTCACGTTTTGCGGCCTTTTCTTTCATGTTTTGCTAGTTTTTTGGTGCTTGATAGGTGGGTGGCTGTTTAGAAGTGTTTGTGTTGCTGTTGTGGTATTTTTTCTTGGTCGCCGTAGCTTTATTGTCAGCCACCACTTGTTCGACTTTTTGTCGCATCCAACTCTTAGTCTGCCCAACAACCGACTGCTGGAGTCTAGGCTTATTGGTGACTGATTGTAAGATTTCTCCGGTCATTTCCTGTCACCGGCTACCAAAAATTTTATGGATTTGAAAACGTCCACCACTTGTTTGCTTTTTTTTTTTCGGCTAAATAAAAAATTACCACACTGTCCTTCAACAGATGGAATTCACTAACAGAATCTAACTAAAAGTGGGTATTTGTTATTTCCAAACTTTTTAGGTACCAAATTGTCTTTACGATAAACTATGGGTGGGTGCATGTTGTTTGGCCTTTATGTATTAATCAAATTTTGGATTTAATTTAGCTCAAGAGTGTGTGTTTGTTAGATTTCAAACTTACAAGGGATGTGTTTGTTAGATTTCAAACTTGTTGAATATGGCGATGTCACTAAACCCACGAAACCATAGAAAAGTAGCATACCTAGGGGCTAGGCATACAAAATCAAAATTTCGTTTAGAATAAAGATAAATTGACAAACATTTTTCACAAACGTTGATGTGTCAGCTCGTAATTGGTTAGTTTGTATTTGAATAACATGACTTATTGTAAACTGACTAATCACGAACTGACACATCGCGTTTGTGAGAGAAAGTTAATGACAAATATTTGTGAATATAATATTATTGATCTCTAGACAATCATATTCAACTCCTTCAAAAACTACAATAGAAACAAAAAATCATAAAATTTGAACCAACTCAGCTGGAGATAAGCATCTATTAACATGTATATCCAAAAAAAAAAAAAAAAAAAAGCACGGATAGGAACAAAATCACATTCAGTTACAAGTAAAGAGAGCAAAACCCCCCAAAATCATCACAGTATTTACCAGAAAACTCAAAACAAAGTTACAAAACTCTTAAACTTGGAAGAAAGCCAGATCAAAGAATACAACTTTCGTCAAATTTCATGAACAAACAAAACAAAGAAACTTGTTCTCGATTTAGCAATTTCAAGAGGCTCGTTTCCAGCAACACACAACTCTTATTGCATTCAAATTTTGTGAGCAATTTAAAGAAAAAGGCCATTTCAATTTGGGATAATATCTTTGAATACTGACAGTTATGTGTTGTTGGAAATAATTCAAAAATCCACATGGGACAATTTTGATATCTTAATTAACTACCACGTAATCATAGTTAGAATATTAAAAGTTAAATATAGGTGGATTCAGTGATTTGATCTCTGTTTTAGCTTTTGTTTATTATTAATTCAGAGATTTAAGTTCATTTTAATTTACTAGAATTAGTTTTTGTGAACTAAGTTAGTAATAGATTTAATTTAATTAATTAATTTTTTCTTTTGTAGACAATCCTTGTGAATTCGATTTCATATATCATTTGATCTATACTTGAATAGATTCTTACGTTTGCGAGTTTTATTTAAAACAACATGAGTTAAAATTTCAAAGTCAAATTCGGGATATGCTTGAGATTCAAAAATTTAAAAATAAAAAAAGAACAAGAAAATGTCAAAATTTAAACATCTTGGAATAGATACAAAATTATTGAAGCACAACCAAAAGATAACAAAAATCTTGTCTTTTTTAACTCTTAAACAAGCACAACTAAACGAACAATAACTGGACATTGTAACAATGAAAATTATAGAAAGAACAATCCCAGAAAAAGACGTTGCATAGACTTCAAAAGGATGCCCATGTGGATTCCATAGGTTTAGACGCCTCTATGAATGATATGGCAAGAGTTGAAGTTGCAGTTGAGTCGAACCAACCCAACTTCTCCATGAGTTTATCAATTAGTTCTCCAGCTAAATACGACACACAAGATACCACAACCCCTGTGCTTAAGTAGTATAGTGTTGTTTTGATATAAGATTTTGGGGGTGACTTATTAACATGACACTTGGCAATAACAAGTAGAATAATGCATATAAGAGATACACCCAGAACAACTGCTAGTTTCAGGTCCTTATTGTCACTTTCACGAAATGAGAAGCCATAGATTACAGGTGGCAGCAACCCAAAAAAGAGGAAGGATATCACTGCTAAGCTTGCATGAAGTGGGAAGTTTCCTCTTCGTCCAAGTAGTTTTTGATATCGACCTTCTTCATTCAATTGGTTTGGATTCTCTCCATATTGCTCATTTTTCATTTGTCTAAGCTGTATATAAATTAAATTCCACTATAATTTCTACGTTTAACAATAAACGATGGCTTTATATATAAAGTATTTTTAATCGAGTTAATTGACCATTAAATGACATCAATATATATCACTCACATTATGACCAAGGACGAAAAGTCCAGCTACCAAATTTGCCAATCCCATAGCTAAAATGTTCACTGCAATAACCCAAGATCAATGTGATTAAGTTTGTAAGTAAATAATTAACATATTAATTATTTAAGATAAAATCAATTGCATTAATCTAATAAAATGTAGGCGTTGGAAGTAAACACTCACATGTGGTGGCACCAGCACCTGCTGCAGAAGACACTACTCCTAAACTTGTAATTGATTCCATTAAACCACCATAAACAATACTCTTTAAGATATCCCATCCCTGGCCTTCTCTAATTTCAACTCCTGTAGTACTCCCAGGCTCGGACGCCACTTGTAAAATAACATCACCTCCTGCATCATGTCATTATAAATAATGTTACTGTGACATGCAATAATTTTTACAGAATTCGTATCCGTAGTATGACATGTATATTCATCACAAGTGGTTTCCTAATAGTATAATAAATATACTAATCGCAATTATGCCATGAATATCTCAAGATTGAATAGCTTAATTCTACAAAACAAAGAAGTTAATGTATTGGAACTTGCCATGGTGAGAGCTCCCCCAACTTTTGGCCAAACATCAACATCAAGATGTGAAAAATAATATTTATGTTATAATGTGCTTGCAACATCAAATATATATGTATATGATCTCAGTTTGTGAATACCTGTGATGTTTCCAACCATTGCATCATCTTGTTTTTGTTTTGAAGGAATTACAGTATTTTTAGGAGTGCTACCATCAAAAGTTTCAGAGGGTAAAATTTGTCCAATATGTTGGGCAGGTGCGATAAACTCCAATCCACCTTGATCACCTTGCGGAGAATTAACATGGAAATCTCTTACAGGTTGCTTATTGCCTTCATTCTTCTCTTCTATATGATCAGAGGGGTCCGATACCCTATTACCTACACCAATGTTATATAAAACAAAGATGAGGAAATTGCATTCATTTGTATTTGCCTTTCCAACAACACGCATAATTTGTCAAATATTATAGTGTGTGTATCTATATGAATATATAGTTTAAGATCAAAGTAACTTATTTAATTAAATACTAGCGATTTGTCATACATATATGTTAATTATCAGTTACAGGAAACATGTTTTCTCATGCACATAATATCATCTTGGATTTTAGGGAATAATTAATTCTGAAGGTAATAATATATATGCTGATCTGTAATCATTAATAAGGAGCTAGCTATATATTTACCTGTTTTCTTGTTGGTGATTGGTATAAAAAAAGACCAGGGCCAATATGCCTTTGCTCCAGCACTTTCACTTCCGGCTGCCTCTTCCTTCCTATTCGCATCTTTATTTCCAAAGTTGACAGCAAATTAAATTCAATAAAATAATTAAGCTCTTCGATATTTGCCCCAAAACCATTGATAATTTATAATAATAATAATAATAATAATAATATAACATACCTCTAGGAATGAAAAAGCTGAAGCATGATAGGCACCTGAAATACACATCTTCTTCAGTTTTTCTTTTGTCGATTAGAGGTTCAGTTTTTGGAGGAACATTTGAAAAAGTATGTTCAGTGTCTTCACGAACATCTAACGGGGCTTCAGGCTTTCTTGTTGGCTTTGTTTTATTGCGTCCACCGATAGGTACTACAAATTTTGGCTTTTTCTTTCGAACAAGGATTACCGTTCTGGTAATACAAGACTTACACTTGGGACAAACTAAATCATGCGTATCTTGTTTCTTTATTACCTCCTCAACATCAAATTCGGTCAATTCCGGGTGGTCAATCTCTTCAATTAAGTCAGCATCTACATTTGATCCATTTGTATTATGAAGATGCACGTCAGAACTAATTGTTTTTTCTTCTTCACGTGACGCCACTTGTATTGCTGATATGATTTCATTATCCTCCAATATTTTAAAATTTTGATTGCTGACCCTGACCTCGGTGGTTAAACTTGTTTGAATGTCCCATTCCTCTTTTTTATGATTTATCTCATTCGAAATAGTGCCTGAAAACCATGCAAAATATAAGCAAATATATAATTATAGACCTAAGAAATTTTGATATAAATTTAAGAGTAATGCTACACTTATAACCTCTTCTTATAAGTTTTCTCTAACAATTCTAATCTGATCATTTGTAATTGATCATCTCATATTTTCTTAAATTTAATTACCATATAGTAACCAACAACAAATCACCCTCGTTCAAGTAAATCTCACAAACAAGGACATTTAGAGATCTTGTTAGTCAATCAAGCTTAAAGATTATTAATTAGTAATTAATTAAGCAGAAAAAAAATTTCCTGTAGTAAAAAGCACGATCAAGATTTATCTCCTAGAACATAAATTACATTGACCAACCTCTGTGATAAGTGATGGACACTTAAATAAATAAATCAATTATCTTCATGTAAACACAAAGAGGAACATCCATACTTAATTTCAGAACTCCATTGAACATACGCTTTCAAGTTATACTACTTTCGATGAGACCCAACACGATAAATGCAGATCTTTAGTGTGCAACTCAAAGATTTTATGAATAAGTACATTTATATATAGAAAAAAAAAAATTAACGAACTTTTCTGCATAGAAATTATCTTCCCTTTTTACTCAGTGATTATCAAATATAAAACCCATAAAAACTAAATTAGCTATTAAATATATGGTGTTTGTCAAAGTAAACTCAAGTTTTCTACAGCGTATTACGTACCCTCCTTATCTTCTTCTGCAAACCCAGCAGCAGCCTTGTAAAGCTCGTCATGATTTGAATATGCTCTCGCTTCTTTCACTTCTTCTTGATGTCCGTTGTAAGTAGGAACAACAATGCGTACATTGGAGCTGTTGCGGAGGCGAGACTGCCTTCCTTGCAGTTGCGAAGCTTCATCATTTTCTTCATCTTGTTGTTGGTCTTCCCATGGATAATGCTTTTGTTGTTCCATATCAATTTGAGATACAGCCCACAGGACTAACAACAAAACTGCTCAACTTGGTTCCTCGTGCATTTGGTTTTTATATACAAGTCAAGTCCGTGTCCCTGAACCCTGATCATGACAAGTAATGGTCACTGTATTACTCATTTTCTGACATTCACATGGATCCCTTATTAATAATTTACTGAATTAATTAAAAACTAACTAACCTTCTTCAAGTTCACACGCACCCATCACCATGCTAATATATTATTATTAGGTTGAGTCAACGAGAAACGTTTTCTACGTGTGTCCCTTACATGTGTGAAATCCAGCTGGCTATCTCTTTCACTTGAAAGTACACTTGTTTTAGAGTAATACTAATTTTACAAAGAGACATACAAAGAACTATATAAAGAGTCAAATCTAGCCTTTAAAATTTATGATTGTCTTTTTTTCTCTCTCTTTTTTCTTTCTTTCAAGGATTAGATTTAACTCTTTACATAACTCTTTATATGACTCTTTGTATACCTATTTATAAGGCTACTGTTACACCTCTTTTATTATTTATTATATTGTGACTGCATTAAATGGTCATGTGCAGAGGGACGGTAAGTTGTATAAATAAAATAATTAAATCGTTTACTAAAGACCAACCACACAATCCTAATCCGAGATATATGACTAATAATTATATGACACCTGGATACCTAATTTTAATTTAATTCAAATATTGTCACATTGATATAGGAGAATTTCTAGATGTTAATTTAATAGAATATATTAATAACAATAGGACAAAAAAGGAAGTTCATTCAAGGTGTTACGTAAAAAGATGAAAAATAAATCCATACCATTATATTTATAACAGTAAAGATTATGTTATAAATAATAAATAAAAGTAAAGAAGTCCAAGAATTTTCCTTTTTGTGCATACCACCAATGTGAATTTTTTTTTATCAATTTATTTAGTTGAAGAGAAAACTTACTGTTAAATATGGAAGCCTGAAACAGCGTCGTTTAAGTAACAATAATATAGCGTCGTTTTAGACATATTAACTTGGACGAATTCAGACCACAGAATGCACTCTAAATCTAACGGCCAAGATCAACCACGAAGTCAAACCATATATAAGCGCACGTTCGTTCAGATTTGGAGAGAGAGACAGACGTTAGGGTTCTCTGGGTTTGCACTTCTCTGTGTTAGGGTTGAGATTATTTCTTCCAGATTGTGAGTTAAATCAGTCAAGTGATTAGGGGGTTTAAATCATTCAGGTGAGAGTGTTGTTCTCTCGGGTTAGGGATATTCAGAGAGTATCTTATAAGGCTGGTTGCTGTTGTAATCGGATAGATCTAGTGAGTGTTGAATCTGTGTAATCTTGACTATTTCTAATAATCGAAGTGTAGTGAGCTTATACCATTCTTGAGTTCAACGTGGATATAGCTTATCCATAAAAAGATAAATGAACTATGGTAAATCGTGATTTGTCTGTGTTTAATTTTGTGGTGTTTTCTTATTTTTTAGTGTGATTGTTTTGTGTTGGTGTATAGATCGGTATTAAGTTTTCGGTTATAACACTTACAAAAGTAGGTAAAGTTTGGTATGCTAGCAACCTCATTAATGGCCATCAATTTTGAATTCTGTTTAAAACTTTCCTATGAATTAATTAATAGAATTATTCTGTTTTTATTTATTTATTTTCTATTTCTAACCTATTGAATTAAATGTCAACTACAACATTTAATAATATATCGTACAAAAACTACTTTTAAAGTGCACACTTTCCTAGATCTCGAAATGGTGGTTTGTAGGGGAACGTTTACACCTACCCAAGGTTTTCTGTAATGATAGATTGGTATCAAAAAGATTTAAAAACGATAAACAGATACCTTCTATGATGTACCGTTAATGATTTTCATTTGCTAATAGTGAAAAAATTAGAATGTCTTTAAAAGTTTGATATTTTAGTATTTTATAAATTTAAAAATTTATAAAAAAACCTCCTAAATTTGTTAATTTAATTAAACACCCCAATATATAAAAAATTTATAAAATGACAAAAACAATCCCATCATCCGTAGTGTCAGACTCCGGCCACCACCGCTGGAATCTGGCCAGAAAATTACATTACAACACAGACCGGTCAAATCTGTATCGTAACGCGTCGATATGACCTTTTTCGGTCGAAAAATATCAAATCTATGGCCAAATGTGGCCGTTGACAGCCACAAATGTCCATCTTTTAGCCGTCAGCGATGGTCAAAGAAATGGCCGTCGTTGACCATCAACAACGGCCAGATCTAGCCAGAAAAGGGCAGATCAGTGAATTACTGGCAATTTCCAATGGTGGTGTAGACCGTTGTGATAGATTCCGACTACCACCAGTGGTGGTTGTTGGAATTTGGCAAGTATAGGTGGATGGGGGTGTTTTTATTAATTTTTAAACTTTTTTCTAGGGGTATTTGATGAAATTAATAAATTTAAGAGGTCTAAAAATAATTAAAAAAATAGACTAATATTTCTCAAATAAAGTTTGGTGATTGTACATGAAATTACTTTATTATCCTTTTACAAACGAAAATCAGTAACAACATATAACAGAAAGTATTAGTTTATCGTTTCCAAACTTTTTGGGTACCAATTGTCATTACGACAAACCTTGGATAGGTGTAAGTCGTTCGACCGTGGTTTGTACCTTGTATAACAAAAAATTATTATTAGCGGTTTAGGCACACTTTCCTAGATCTTAAAATAGCGGTTTGTACTTTGTATAAAAAATATATTATATTATCAGTAATATTTTATTATAAAAATATATTATATTAACAATAATGTTTTATTATAAAAGAATATTATATTAATAAAAAAAATCATTTTAAAGATTATTATAAATGTTTAGAAAATATGTTTAGTTGGTTCGAATAAATTGGTAAATAATATATTTGATTGGGAGGATAAATAGATGAGTATATTATATAATAAAACTAAATTCCTATCATTTTTAAATATTAATATAATAGCATTTTTTATTATTTTTTTTTAATCATTATTTTTAAATCTCTATATTTGAAATTTTGTTAAAACACTCTAGCAATGTAAAACTTTAATTTATAGCAAAATCACCCCCACCCACTACCAGCAGCCAACCACCACCGCCGACTGTCGTCAGCAGTCAACGAAATGGCACATGACTGGTCGTATATGGCTGGCCGTGCATCGATAAAGTTAGAAATGGCTATGGATCACAAATCCATGGTTGTGAAAAGGTCAATCTTTGACCGTACCATTTCACAGCCACATCTTTGGCCGTGAAACAACCATAGAAACACTAGATTTAGCTATTTTCGACCATGGATCACATCCATGGTTGAAAAAGGCCTTACCAGCGCATGACTGTCAAATCTCGTTGGTCGTGCACTATTACGGCAATTGACGCCAACTACCGACGATGGTGAGTCACAACCGACATTGGTCTTGGGTGATTGGATTTATTTTGTTAACTTTTAAACTTTTTTGTGGTTGGGGCGTTTTAGCTCATTTTTCAAATATAAGGGGGTTGGATAATTATTATTTGGTAGATATTTAAGGGCAATTGTGTTCGAAATGGTTTTTAATTATAGGCAAAATAGATAGAAAAATCAGATTACCTCGGTAATGTTTTAATAATAACCCCTAATAAAGTAATAAGATTACCTCCTATATTACCAATAGTAAACACTATTTACAATAAAAGATTATCATAATATTTTATTACTTGTAAACCAAACACAAGAATCTTACAAAATAAATAAAGATTACTCCTGTTATCTTATGTACCCCGATCCAAACGGCGCTTATTATATTGACAAGTGTTGCACAAAGTTTTATTTTTTAAACAATAATGTTATAAAGTTAGGACCCGTTTGCTGTGGTCATTCACATTAATTATCGGATAGTTACTTATCTCATTATCTTGCAATCAATATAGTGCATTAGTGTGATTATACGTGTATTAATATAGTCATCACTTCATCATATAATCATTATAGTACTACAACAATTCTCACATAGGTGAGATACCTTTATGGCCGATAATTGAGCCAAATTGTACATATTGGGCCATAGGGCACATGTGGGCTTTTGGCGTACCTTAAAGATGTTCTTTACTGGGCTTTGCTTAGGACACCCACACAACAACCAACATTATAAGCAACGGAGGCAGTTGATGTTTCAAACAAAAGGTTTCTCATCGCACCTGCTTCAGTCTTCAAAGGATTTTTACTTTTCGTTCTTTTGTGTCGAACAAGGTAATCTCTCACCATCATTCTTTTCTTCTATTTCAATTCAACATGTTTAGCTCTTCGCTTTCATGTCTCTGGTTTTTCTTTCTGATTATCTATCTTCAAGGCATTAATTAGGTCAAAATATGTTGTGTTTTTTTTTTTAGAAAAATCTTTAATCTTGTACCAACAGTCAGAGCAAATCCAGAATTTCTGTTGTTGTGAAATTATTTATACGTCTTGGTCTCGAAATGGACTGAATTGTTGATCGATATTGAAATTAAGCGAATGCTATTTGAACAGGTTTTGAACGATTGCAGATGAAAACTTTAAAGCTGAAATTCCTATTAAAGAAAATGTAGCTTCGGAGCCTGTAGATGGCAATTAAGTTTCAAAAATTATCAAAATGATATAAATCTGTTCACCAAAAGTACAAAAATTGAAGAAGATAAGGTAAAAAACCTGTTGAAGTTTGAATAGGGGATTGCTCACGCAACTGGACAGAACAAAAGGCCGGATGTCTAGTCGTTGTCATGTCTGTTGTGGTGAGGGGTGGAGTTAGCGACGGCGCAGCAGATTGTTTGTGTTGCGTTGGTTGAGTGTTGGGAGTGAGTTTGAAGAGTAATGGAAGGGGCATTAAGAAAATAACTTTCTTTTTTTTTTACTCTCAATTTATAGTTTTCTATTTTTTAACTCTTTTTGGGTAAAAAAATGACATGTACAGCCCATATGGAGGGCTAAATTTGTTTAATTTTATCCGCAGTGGATTTTTGGTTAGAAGTTGATGTGTTGGAACAAGAACATAAGTAACTACCTTGCACTAGAATAATGGCTGGTAATTGATGTTACAAAACTAAGCCAAAAATTTAAGTTAGAATTGCTTCACCTTCTGTTTTATTTTTTCAAGAATTGCATGTTTACGTCATGCCCGGGAATTCGCTATCCCTACCACCTGTCTTTTTCGATGTTGTATAAATTTGGGCATTCCAAGGCAAGTGTTAATACTCCTGAAACCTCAACCTTTAACCCTTTCTCTTTTTGTTGTTTGTGATTAAATTAGTGTCATGCTCTTCTGCATCATGCGCAAACCTTTTCTTTTTTTCTTTTTTTATGATTTTACGTCACTAATTAAATTAATCGACAATTTATGAATTTCACTGTTTGCATGTATTTCTCTCAATGTCATCTAATACGATATTATGTGGGTTGCCATTTCCATTTAGGTTTATCCTTATTGTAAGGGTGATGGATTGTGATAATTTGCTGCTATGAGTGATGCTGATGGTGAGATTGTATGTGGGCTTAATCTTATTTAACTCTGAACTAATGAGTCTGCTGTATATTGCAATCAACTATCTCACTACTTTAAAAAGTAATTGATCAGTCTGCAGATCAAGTATGTCAGAATTAAGCCAGGGTATACTTATAGATATTTTGGACGAGGAATGGATGAGAGACACTCTTCCAGATGACGGTAATATCTTTGGACCAAATAAAAGAAAAAGAATCTCTTCATGGCTCATTTGTTCATATTCTACTTTTATTAATGCAGAGCTTCAATTGCCACCAGTGGTTGATCGGCCTGATGATGCTGAAGACTCAAGTATGTCCATCATTTGATTAATTGCACTCTTCATCTAGATATAAAATTTGCATACAAGGAGAAAGCTCATATCTATTTGTAGTTGATAGCACTTGAAAAATGAAAAGAATACATTTTCAAAATTTCTGATTGTTCTCTTCATTCCCAATATCACAGTTACTTTATGTTTCTTCATTTGTCAACTTTGTATTGACATTTAATTATTTTCAATTTCCAGATCAGGAGACTCAGCAAAAGAATGAAGATGCTTGGCATGATCTTGCAGTGGGGTCTCAGTGAGACTATAGGATGTGAAGTGTGATCTTGCAGTGGACCCTTTTAAGGTTTCTGATGTTTGTGATGTTAGTTTCTAGTTCTGAGTTGTACCCAAGCACTGATGTTTGAGTTGGTAAAATGCAATTGCACTCATGATATGGAAAAATACGTCCCCTGAATTCAAGGTTGCCTCTCTCATCTTTATTTAAATTGGAAAATGCAGGAAAATAAGGGTGCAGGATCAGAATATTTAAGGTGCTGTACACTAGTAGCAATGGTTGAAAACGGAGTAGGAGCTTTTGAATTTGTTGACTTTGTGAAATTTAGAGGAGTTCGTACTCTCTTAAACCAAGTGATCAAATAGTTTAGTTTAATTAAATATTTCCTTGTTACAGTAAAAATTTTAGCATTAGATTAAATGTATAAAGGAAAATGATAGAGTTACCGAAAGTTACACACCGAATTTGTGCACCGAATGACGTTGTAAAATCTTGACAATTGATTAATATTAATTTATAATGAATCAATGGTTAGGATTTTGTCACGTCATTCGGTGTACAAATTCGGTGCACACTCTTTGATAACTGTAGCATTACTCATATATAAATTATCGGAAGTCAAGCTGCATATTATATTTGGGGAACATAGACAAGATCTGATGCTCATAGCAGCAAGTTATAGCATATGGCTTAAAAAATTGGTTTCTTAATAGGATGCAAGCAGCCAAGCAGCATTTTGGGAAAATTATCTAGGGTGAGCAGTTTTGGGTATCCTATATTTTTCGGAGGAGTCGGAACTGTGCAGTGCGGGTTCTCAAAAAAAAGAATCGAAACCGTACAGTGTAGGTTCTTAAATTCAAAGGAACCGGAACCTGCATTTTGGTTCCTTTCTCGTTTATCCTATAAAAAATCAATTACCCCCCTATTAGTTTAAAAAATGACAAAAATATCTTAAAAGTTTACAAATACAATCCTAACATACTTCGATTACTCATTCATTTATGTTTAATGTGACTCATAAATCTTCTAATCTCTAGAAAATACTTGAATTTAATCAATTCATCACAAGTCACATAAAATTCCTCAATCAAAAGCAAAACACAAACAATAAAAATTAATTTAATTAATTAAACAATCATACTATAAATATATAATTTACTATTATAACTAATTAAATTTCAAATCATTTAATTAAGTATTATACTAATATTTATAATGAAATATTATAATTAATTAAGTAATCATATTATAAATTTATAATGTAATGTTATAATTATTTAAATTTTAATAATTTAATTAAGTAATATCCTAATGTAATAAATTACTAATGATTATAATGTAATGTTATAAATTTATAATTAATTAAGTAATTTAACTATGTAATGTTATAATTAATTAAATGATTATAATTTAATGTAATGTTACTATTAATTAAGTAATTATAATGTAATGTTTTAATTAATTATATTTCTAATAATTTAATTAAGTATTGTATTAATGTTTAATATAAAATGTTATAATTAATTATGTAATCATTTAATTAAGTAATAGTTTGTTTATAACATAATGTTATAATTAATTAAGTAATCATATAATAAATTTATATTATAATGTTATAATCAATTAAATTTTTAATCACTTAATTAGGTATTATACTAATGTAGTAAATTACTAATGTTTATAATATAATGTCATAATTATTTATGTAATCATTTAATTATGTAATATTATAATTAATTATGTAATCATACTATAATGTAATGTTATAATAAATTAACTAATCATATTATAAATTTATAATGCAATGTTATAATTAATTAAATTTTTAATCATTTAATTAAGTATTGTGCTAATGTAGTAAATTACTAATGTTATAATTAATTAAGTAATCATTTAATTATGTAATGTTATAATTAATTATATGATCATATTATAATGTAATATTATAATAAATTAAGTAATCATACTGTATAAATCTTTGATGTAACATTATAATTAATTAAATTTTTAATCATTTAATTAAGTATTGTACTAATGTTTATAATGGAATGTTATAACTAATTAAGTAATCATTTGTTTATAATGTAATATTATAATTAAGTAATTATATTATAAATCTATAATATAATGTTATAATTAATTAAATTTTTAATTACTTAATTAAGTAATGTACAAAATTACTAATGTAATGTTATAAACTTATAATTAATTAAGTAATCATTTAACTATACTGTAATGTTATAATTGATTAAGTAATTATTTAATTAGTAATATATTGATGTTTATCAATTTATCATATATAATTAATTAATTATTAATTTGCTACATGTATACTTAGAACTTGATAATTGAAATAAATAACTAAATATTATATTATTTAATCAAATATACTATTTTATTCAAAAATAATTCTTTCAATAACATTAAAACATTTTTAATTGGTATTAATTCCTGATATACTCTTAATTAATCAAAATTTTAATATTAATATATTATAATATATTAAAAAAATTTATATGGTACAGTTTATATGTAGTAAGTATAATTGTATATTTATTTAATTAGGTTATTGTAAAAATTTAAATTTTTTATATGTAAAATTACATAGACTCCCCATTCTTTACAGATATTTAATTTCAGCCTAGGTTCCAAAACAAGGTACTTGTTGTAAGTTCTAAGCAGATTCCAAGCCAGGTACCCGCTGCAGGTTCTTTTTTTCAGGTTTCAGTTTCAATTCTGATTCCTCCACATGTAAGAACTGGAACCGAAACCGGAACTGCACAATATTGATTCCAAAAAAAAAGGAACCAAAACCTACCCACAAAATGTCGACTCCAAGTAAATTCCGATTCTGATTTTGGTTCTACTCGCAGGTTCCAGTTCTACCCGTGCTCACCCATTTTAATTATCTACAATAACTTTTGCTCTATCAAATTCTTATGATCCTTTTTTTTTTAAATATCTTGTATAAACGCCATCAGAATAAGTCCACAAAATGCACATCCTCATTGAAAAGACATAAACTGAAAACATTACTAAAACATAATTTCTTCCTATAGCATAATATACACACTAAAAAAAAAAAAGAGAAATTGACCACCAAAAATATAGGCATCGGTAGAAATTGGTACAAATTCCGCTTCTGTTTCCACTCAATGTTACACAACTCCCTCTATATGGACTCCAGATCCCAATAAATTGAAAGAATCAATAGAAGAGTTTTTACTATGTGCTAATTTCAACAGTTTGCTTCAACTTGCTAGTCAAATAAGTGGGGGTCAATCATTGGCATTGTAGCTGGAACATTTTTTGCCTGCACTTCTGGTACCTGTGGTTTTTCCTCGGAAACTGGTACCTGTGGTTTTTCCTCGGAAACTGGTACCTGTGGTTTTTCCTCAGAAACTGGTACCTGTGATTTTTCCTGAGAATCTGGCTCTGGTGGTTTTTCCTGGGAATCTGGTACTGGTGACTTTTCCAGGGAATCTGGTGCCTGGGATGATACCTCAGGAGCCGCTGCATCAGTTGTAGATGTTGCTGGAGCATTTTCTCCTGCAGCTTCCAGATTAGTATTACTCCCTGAGGATGGGATAGGGGCTTTATCATCTGCTGTGGTTCCATTAGCTTCTGGTTGGGGTGGACCATTCACTGCTGGTGTAGTTTTGGGAGGTGCTTCTAATGCCAATGGTTTGCCTGGTTGCTGCTGGGAACTCTGTGTAGCAGGAACAGGCTTTTTCTGGATTGCAATTGCAGCAGAAAGGGAAGGCATCCCTGGAGGAAGAATTTCAATTGCTGGTTTCTTCCCTGCATCTGCCAAACTTGTAAGCTTGGTTTCCTCAAGAGATGCCAGAAACGCAGCCGCAGCATCAGTTTTTGTTGCTGGAGTGTGTTCGACTTCCTTCTGCAACATTTTGTTCCAAGCCTCAACCAAGTTCTTCAAAGTTGGTCGCCCATGAGCCTGGAGATATTCATGAGGCTGATTACATCCAAGTATTAAATTCATTGATTAAAATTAAACATTGCAAATAAACAAGTCATACATGAGCATGAAGCACAGCCTCAGCAAGCATCCCAGTATCCTGCCATGCCTTCTCCATGAGGGCATTGTCTCCCAAAACTGCAGCTGAAAATGCTGCTTCACGCCCAAAGCCGACTGAGATCAAATTGTTCACCAAATTCTGCAGTAGATGATCAATAAAACATTTTAACATGCATCAAATTTGAACCGGTATGAATGAGATACATGAATAATATGCTACATACACTCAATCTTGTCAACTCTCCATGATTAGCAAGTCGTAATGCAAGTCCTCTTAACTCGTGACTCTGTAATGCTCCTTTCACTGAACCTGCAGCAGCTAATCTCTTCAGAGCTTCGCGAGCAATGTTAGCTTGTGCAGTAGCATCTGCAGCATCAATGAGGTCCAGAAACTCCTTAGCAAATTTCTCTATTCCTTGAACAGCTTCCACAATATTTTCCTTCTTAGCTGTTAAATTGAGAATATCATTCAAATCGGCTTGGTCTTGTCCTATGTCCCTGCTGTTGCTCATCGTAAGAAGGCACTGAAGAGCTCTTTTCAAATCATTGCTCTGCATGGCAAGATCAAACTCCAACCTATAAAAGAATGAGAACTGAGTCATAATACAAGACAAACCAAATGCTCTAATAGCAATTAAGTTTAAACATACCTCTTTGGGAAAGATTAATACTTAAATTTTATTATATTAAGCAGGTGAATATGTCTAGTACATGCATAAAGCGATTGACATGTTAACTGACAATATAATACATTTAAGGGAATATCAATCTTTGATATGGAAAACTATGGCTGAGATGGATAAAACATCAGTTCATAAATTAAACAGTTGAAAGATAATGATAATAACAGCCATAGGAACCCTAAAATAATAGTAAAGATTTAATTGAATATGGTATACCTTTTAGATATTCCAGGCAAATGAAGTGCTTCAGTAGCATAGCCCATTCCCATCATGAATTGTGCTAAATCATCATGATGTTCTCTGCCAAGTCTACTTGCCCTGCATAAGAAATACAATTTAGATTTACATAATTATATCACCATCAATCACTGAACAATGAAACCAATAAAGTACCATTTCACTGCACTAACTGCATCTCCATAGGCAGCAAGACACCGGCAACGAATTCCAGGATGGCTTAGGGATATGGCATGTGCACACATGTACCTAACAAATAAAATTTATGTAGATGTCATAAAAAATCTTATTTATCTATTACTAACATTCACTAACCATGTGAAATAGATTAACACATTCGTATGGGATGGAAAGTGATACCAAAGATATTAGAAGGTATTCCCGAAGGACTCTAACTAACCCTTCGGCCTTCTGTCAACTCATTTTTATCTCAGTTAAAATTCCATGATAGAAGTTTTCAAGCAGGCAAAAACATTGGATAACATAAAAAAAAAAAAGGGTCAATGTATACTAGCTCTAACTAGAAGGAGGATAATTAATAGTAGAGCAAGTAATTATATTAAAAACTTAAAAACAGAAGTTGATACCAAATTATGAAATAAAAGAGTAAGTCGAACTCCTTTTTTAGTATTAATTTAACATGAAACAGTATGAATTCCTGAATTAGCCATTGAATTATACAAAGGGATCCATACCGGTCAATAAGCCAAAGAACTCCATCTCTGACACCCACCACAATTAGGGGTCCGATAGGTCGCTTCTGCTCTGATGGAAAACGAGTGACTGCTACTGCCACGCCTCCACCACCAACAGCCACTTCATTAACCTTTCTTTCTTCTATATTTGGCATCATTGAATCATCAGCATCAGCTTTATTTTGTTTTGGCAATGTTAAGAAAGGTGGCACAGAAAGCGCCTGCTGGAAAGAAGCTAACCTGACCACCTGAATGAAAAAAACATTAATAAACACAGAGATAAAGGAGAAAATTTGTGTGATGACATTTCACATGATCGCTGCATGCAAGTGAATTATTTGAGAAATTTTAGGCCCAAAATATGGTAACAAACGAATCAGTCAACCAACTGCAGGCTACTGAGAATTTTAAATGGAGCATTTAGAATAGATCTGATGGATCTTTCAAAACTTGCTAATTTGAATTTCATTCTTTCCCTAAACACTTCGGCTCATGGAAACTTAACAAACATAAAAGAAAGCTGAGTCCAAAGTTCCAGTATACCGATAAACCTTGAACAAGATTCACATTATTCATCAAAGATCTCAGCAACTAAACAAGACTCACATAATTATGAACAGAAGTATTCAATTTTTTATCAATAGAAAATTTTAAACAGCCAAAATCAGAGCTTTAAATAAATTTTAATTGATGTTTAAACCAATAAATACTAGAGTTTTCTTACTCTCAGATTAAGTTTATTATTGTATTCGTTTCACTTTTGTGAACTTATATCACAACTAAAATAGAGCATAAAGAACACTTCTAGCAAGCTGAAAAAAAAAAATTTCATAGCTCAAACAAGGTAGCAACCCTTTTAGCATCAAAATTGCAAATTTAAATATCTAGTTACCATCTATTCAAGTTAACAATTAAACAGAAACCCACACAGTAGAATTTAGAATGATCAACCTGTAGCATTGGGGGTCTCAATGTTATTCTTTCGTTTGCAGTGTTATGGGAACCTTCCACATTGATTAGAGCCAACTCTCCATGCTCAGCAATTGCTCTTGCCTGTGCCTCTTTCATTTTCATCTCTTCTTTCATCTTTCGTGTTTCCACATCAATTGGTGCAACTCCAGCATCCACAAAAACACATCTAAAATATAGCAAAGCAAAAATGTAAGGTTTAATTAGTACTCCAATTCTTAACTCCTCTGATAACGCAGCTAATTTGAAAACATAAGACCACCTTTAACTTTGAAGGCAGGAACTAGGAACATAGATATAAGTAAAGAGTACATAAAAGCGTTTCGAACCACTGAATATAAGCATAAGTTTTGTATCAATATCTTACTCGATGGTAGTTGGTGTAGCCACAAACAACTGTCGCCGATGCCAAACAGCTCCAGTAGCATACGGTATTGCAACGTCTCCAAGGTATCTATATTGGGGACGCAAAGAAGATATAACTATATATTGCTGATAAGCAAAGGCACAATACTCAACAGTTTGGTCCCATGCAGTCCATTCTGGCTGAGGAAGTAGGCCACCCACAGGCTGAAAAGTTTCCCAACTGCACATTGTAACCTTAATTAAACATTACATAGAAACACCTATATAAAGAAAGCCTGTGCTCAGTCGAAAAGCCAAAAAAAATGCAGTTAAAAGTATTTTTTGATTTTATATATCAGATGGCTATTTTTAGCCCTAATATTCTTCTCTTCAAAAATTGCCATGTATCGAAAGAAACATATGCCAAATAGCTGGTTGCACGTCTGTGTGATTCTTTTCATGTACGTTTGTGTGTGCGTTTGAACATTAGTAAAGATTCCACATCAATGTAGCAAAACTCATAAGGATACTTCTAAATGAAGTAAACTGCGGACAATAGAGGGGACAATCTGTTTTCCCACTTGTACAGTGACTCATGGCAGAAAAATAATATTATATTTCCAGAAAAGAGCTGTAAATACAGGAGATTGGCCCTTTTTTTTTTTTTTTTTCATTACATACCCTAAAATCTTCCAACTTTTTTACAACTTCACCCAGTAGGAGAGATGGGCTCATGGCTTTGACAACTAAATGTTCCGTCAAACATACAATATATATCAGAATGATGGCACTTCAAAAGCTTGAACTTTGCTCGGAAGGGTCAATGGGGTGGACTAGATANGGACAATAGAGGGGACAATCTGTTTTCCCACTTGTACAGTGACTCATGGCAGAAAAATAATATTATATTTCCAGAAAAGAGCTGTAAATACAGGAGATTGGCCCTTTTTTTTCGTTACATACCCTAAAATCTCCCAACTTTTTTACAACTTCACCCAGTAGGAGAGACGGGCTCATGGCTTTGACAACTAAATGTTCCGTCAAACATACAATATATATCAGAATGATGGCACTTCAAAAGCTTGAACTTTGCTCGGAAGGGTCAATGGGGTGGACTAGATACAAACTAAATTATTAACTGCTCCAAGAAGGATTAATCCTCAAATTTCAGAGATCAAAACTGAAGGAAAAGAGGAAATTAAAAGGGATAAAATGAGATTCCTTTCTCAAACATTACAAATCACTACTATTTATTTTTCCTCATATTTTCTGAGAACTAAGTGGAAGAAAAAGGATAACGATGGGAGAGCAAACAACGCAAGGATAAACACAAAGCATTATTGAGTCATATATTATCAAAACCTCAAGACCTTGGAAAGAAAACGGCCAAAAACAAACCAAGAGAGCTCCTTTTGGAATGCCGGGAGCCCAACACTTGTACTTTCATAAGCAATAGCCCCTTAATGACAGACAAGTTATACAAGAAAATCCCAAGCCCACCTGTAAAGCTGAAAGTTCTGAGGTGCTGCCTCAGCAGGAGATCTCTGAGAAGAAACTCCATCATCAAAAGCTGTAAAAGAAGAAAGGCCACTACTTCCAAAGCCTGACAGGGGCATAGACTGAATTGTTGAAATGGCTGTGGCAGTAGTAGGACTAATCCTCCGAGATGTTCGATAAGCCACACCAAGTAGTGCTCCCCCATGCAATCCAATAACCTACAAGAAATTTAATAAATAAGAAAGGAAATATAAGCACTTAATTTTCCAGGACTGAGCTCAATTGGTCAGAGCATTGCCTCATAAAGGAGTCTGCTGAAGGTCCTTCCCTGTCAGCTCCAAACTAAGCATTACACCCTTCTTAACCATCGCCAATACTATTTATCCCCAAATTTCAAAAACAATTATTATAATTTCAGCCCTTTTTTTAATGCCCAAATATCTCTTAATCCTTCCTACAAGCTGGGAAAATCTGCCTATAAAGCAGAACTAGAAGATACCCATAATTAATTTCTATCAACTTCAAGCATGAAATGCTGCCTTTTTGCAACTGCAGAAAGAACTAGAAGCTACCCATATTTAATTTCTATCAACATAGAGAAGGTATACAGCGAAAAAGAGATCAAGTACCGGTTCAGCCCTTTTTTTTCAGCCCAAATATCTCTTAATCCTTCCAACATGTTCACCAAGGTCTACAAGCTTGGAAAGTCTGCCTATAAAGCAGAACTAGAAGATACCCATAATTATTTTCTATCAACTTCAAGCAAGAAATGCTGCTTTTTTGCAACTGCAGCAAGAACTAGAAGCTACCCATATTTAATTTCTATCAACATAGAGAAGGTATACAGTGAAAAAGAGATCAAGTACCGGTTCACTGAAGCCACCAATAGACCTCATTAATATGTTTGATGTTCCATCATCCAACAAGATACGAGCTTGAACAGTAGCTGAGGAAGCAGCAGTAGCAGCTGCTGCTGCTGCTTGGGCTGCAGCTGCAGCAGCTTCTTTTGCCTTTCTTGATGACCCACCCTTAGGAATCACAGGGATTCTAGGAGCTAAAGCAGATTCCAATATAGCAAATCTGTCACGACAAGTATCCCAAGCCAGAAGCCTTGCACTGCCAGAATCGACAATAGACCAATCGCTAACTTTATAGATGGAGAAGTAGGGAATATCTGGCCACACAATTGCTAGATACCTGCAACCAAATTTTGCTATAAGAAGCAGATACCCATCTCAAAAGAGGAAATAGTAAAACCAAACAATGCAAGTATAAAATATAGAAAAATATTTCAGCTAAAATATCTCATATCAGAGTAAAACTTATGTTGTAGTTAACATATATAAGATGAATCTAAAGCAGGCTTCCACAAATATAGAAGCTCCCTTCTAGCTTGGGACAGATAAGAACAAAAAGATTTGCATACTTCATACTACATGAAGATAGTGAAACTGATAAAAATAATTCATCAGTTCAACTGCATGTCCAAGTAAAAATTCACCCCCTATCATAAGCTTTAAAGTTGACAACCCGAAAACCAAACATCCAGTGTTAAAGTGAAATTCAAAAGCACTTACTTCCCTGAACTGCTTACAGAAAGAATTGAATACGAGTCATGTGGAACAGGAGTACTAATGTGCTTTTTGATCTGCTTAACATGTAATGGTTCGGATGAGTCCCCTCTGAATCGTCCCGTTTCAGATAAGGAGCCATTATTTCCAAGAGATGGATTTGCCGTGCTGGATAACTGAAAGTTGAGTAGTTTCAACTCCCTCTCAACTACATATACAGCTGAATGCTCCCGACTTCCGGATGGGGTTGGTAAAGGAGCTACAGGTGGGAGAGATCTAGGATCAAACTCGCTGACTATAACTCCAATATTCGTTCCAGTAGCGACAAGGTGTGGCTGTAAAGGATGTGCCACCATACAATAAACCTGCAGAAGAAACTCTGGGATGTCAAGCAAGATGTATTCAAGATTGAGGAAAAGAAACACATTACAAGTTGTTTAAGGTCCTTGGATCAAATGGATATGTAAAATCGCACACAAGAAGCATGAATTGCCAACTGTCTGATGCATGAGTTCAACTTGAAAACTTTGTTTTCTGCAGCAAATAATAGATGGTTCATATTTCTGCTATTTTCAAAATCAACAGAATACCACTGCTTTGAATCTACTAAGTTTATAGATTTGCTGAAAAATTTAGTAAAAAGTCATGTCAAGGAGGATATTTTCCTTCATATTGAAATCAAGCTACCCCTTGATGTTAGAAGATATGTAACAATGAGGGATAGTTTCAAACATTATTACTTTTCCACCAGTAACTTAACAATAATCTAATAAGAGGCTTTCTTATATTAAAAAAACATAAAAAGGTCATAAAATTGAAAGGAACTACTAACTAAATTTAGGAAATAGACAGTGAAAAAACCACAACATACCCTAAGTTTCTTGCTTGGTGCAAGTACTTGAGGAGGTATTAACGAGGAAAGTTCACACAAGGGCCTTGTGAGGGCTGAATAAGTGGGGTGTTCAATAGCCCTGCAAAAAGCACAAATAGTTATAAGGTCATCCATAAATAAAAAAATGAAATGGCATTATGCCTGAATTTGTCATTATTTAACTTTTTTATTAATAGCTGTGACAATTGTCAGATTAATCACTGCAGCAAGATTCATGAATAAACAACTGAGAAAAAACTCTGTAATTGATGCTGCTGAGAAAGAAGAATAGGCTTACCATATATGGGAATCTTTGACACAAGTTAAAATATCAAGGTTTGGAGCGCGAGGGTGGCACCAAGATGCCACACTGTGACAAGCAAGTCTTGGGACAGGTTTAATTCGCCGCAGTTCCTGTAAAGGAAAAGCACATGAAAATAAATTTTTAAGAACTAAAATTTTAAGAAAGTGACAACTCCTCAAGGTTGGTACAACACCTTAAAAGAGACTGTGTCCCATATGGCTAATGTCTTATCCGCACCAATTGTAATAAGCTGTGGAGCACCTCCAATCACTCTAGAAAGCTCAACAGCCACAACCCCACCATCATGTGCCTATTCGTATTGTGAATAAAAATACCAAAAACCTTTATCAATGCCACTAGTTCTAGACAGATTGTATATGCAAATAAATAAAAGAGAATAAGAAAATAAAATCATCCGTTGTCCACAGGAAAATACAGAAGAAGAGCTTCAAAGTAAAATCTAAAGCATAACAATCAAGAATTACCACAGGATAAGATTGAGAAAGAAGAGGAGATGAAAAGCCAGGACAAAAGCATTCAGAAATTTTATGCCTATAATGTGTTCAAAATCTTGAAATACCAAATATAATAATCCAATTTCAGTATTTCAAATATGTTCACATTTATTAAGAAGTCACCAGATTAGACATGCTATGTGCCAGATAACAATATAATGGCAAAGTCCCCGCAGAGTTTTAGGAGAATAAAATAAAAATACATAAACTAAAATAAGTGATGCTTGGTCAGCTATTAAACATTTAACGAGATGAAAATACACAAAGTGCCCAAGTAGAGATTAAGGAAATAGATACCTTTAAACTTAGCTTGGGCACAAGTTCTCGTGAATCTTGGCCATGATCTGCACTCCAAAGTACAAGTAAACCATCACTAGCACCCGAAACAAGAAGTGCCTACAATCATATAAAATTACAACAGAAAGAATGTAGGTTAAAAAAGAATGGGAAACTCCATAAAAGGAACTCTGCAATGATTTTCCATGTCCATTGAACTGGTTCAAAAATCTTTTTATACAATTATTTGCAAGAACTTCAACTTCTAACAATCCTCAAACACTCTATCATGTGGACCAAAAACAACAACAAAATTGACATAACTACCGGATCCACAAACACAACTTACTATGTTTAATTAATACAATAGGGGTATTCGAACACAAGATGAAGTTATCAATCTAATTTTGATACTATTCTAAGTTACAATTTAACCTAAAAGCTTAAACTTCTTAAGCTCTAACAAGATTACAGCGACACAATATTTGATTATGCAATCATCATAACAACCCAGCACTAATTATTAATATACTATCAAATGAAAAAGATATCTCCTGAAAAGGCAGATAGAATAACCATAGGAACTGAAGAAACAGCAGCGTAAAGCATGAAAGATAGACAATCATTATGTATATATATTCTGATCAACTCAAGCATGTTAATTCAACATACCAATCTACATTAAGACTATGACAATAGATAAAATGAACAGATCCATGCAAAGAAAATAACTTAAACTTAAAAAACTAATGATCTACCTCACCGGAAGACGCCATGAAAGTCATCAAACAAGCTATTGATCCCTTATGCCCTCCAGTGTATCTACGTACAAGCTGCAAAGAAGCAAAAATTACCACAGAAGTAAAGATCATAATTAACATGAAAGAGCAACAAGTTGATGAACCCCAAACCTTCCATGTTATCATTGAAAGAACCCTGATGACACCATCTGATCCACCAAAGGCAACAAGGGGAACATCACCAGCGGCAGATCTAGAGAGGAACTCCATACTGCAGAAAATAAATAAATAAATAAAATGAACAAAAAAATATGCTTACCCACTTCCATAATGTGTTTATAGACGTCGCAAATAATGACTTAAAACTTTAAATAATTGAAATTAGGTAAGAAATCCACAACAGAAGAAACTAGAACATCTGAACGCATAATACTCAGAATGACCCTTTCAAAACATGTTTACAGAATTTGCAATTCATCGGTTAAATTTAAAATAACTGACATTAGATGAGAAATCCATAACAGAAGAATCTAAAACACTAGACACATATTTCTTAAAGTGCCATGAACACAAAAAGGCTAAAAATCACAACTTTCTGCACGTCACATTCATTCCATTGGTCTAAGAAGAATTATCAACAGGAGAGAAGACAAAAGGGTTACAAAAGCAGCTCATCCTGACACAAAGGCAACCAAAGTCATACAAACTCAAACTTGCCCTTCACATAACAGCAGCTACTGAAGTATAATTTATAAACAACATGAACTAAAAGCAGTGAAATACAATGAGCACTTGCCAGAGAAGTGACTTGTTGTCAAGTTCCTGCTTGGGTACATCACGGCCACGCATTGTTACCAAGTCCAGAAAGATGGCTTTGTTTTCACAACAGATGACAAGAAAATGCCTCCCTTTAGTTGAGGGAGGAGGAGAAGTAAAACCTGAAGTAACATTATTCACAGCCGCTGGAGCCTCCGCAGCTGCCGCGCGATTCCGCCAAAGTTGCCAAAACCGTACATCGTCATCGTAAAAATTCACCTGCTTAACACTTAAACAGCCAAATGCCGCCACAAGACGAGCACGTTTCAGTAAATAGAAACATAAAAGAAGCGCAAATTAAATTGCAGAGATCATTACCTCCCTCCACGTATGGCTTCGGTAGGTTTCCCTTTCGAATCTGTAACTAACATCAAAGAGAATTTAATAAAAGATCTCGATCCCCCAATTAAACACCAATTAATTAGTAAACAGAACGAGATTACTGGAACCTGATTCGCCTTCTGCAAGCTTATCTAATTTGACCCCAACCAAACGGCGCTCATCGACGCCACCGGCTTTTAGCTCATAGATGACCTGTCGGTGCTCCCAATTCCAAACGGAGACGCGATCCGATGAATCAGCGGTGACGAGCCATGGATGAGTAGGATGGAGTTGTATCTTCACAATTTTATCGTTGGTCGGCCGAAATGCTCTCAGCCGTAGCATTTTGTTTCTACTTTCGCCGAATTCAATCTGAGATTTCGTTCACTGTTTCCTAATATCATTAATTCATTTCCAAAGCTCGTCGGATTCGAGTTGTCTCAGTAAAGTTTCCAAATCCCAGATCTCTTCTTTTTCCACCAAGTAAATTTCAACACTAAAGTTAAAAAAATAACCATATTTCGGAGCGGGGCCTCAAAATGTGGTTATTTTCTAACTTAGGGGTTGAGAAATCAGGACAGTTCTTTAAAAATAGCCACTTCTGTTTTCACTATAACATTCGAACATGTTGGGCAAGGCTAGTAGGCTACTGATCTAATCTAATACAATAAACAGGACAAAGTTTGGTCAAATATTAAAAAGAGGGTTATTTTCCAAAATAGTTCCTATAATCAGGGTGAAATTAGGGAAATTAACATCGAGTCAAATTGGGTTACCATTAGGGCGCGTTTGGTTGGCGGTAATGTCAGAATATTGGGGTAATGTCATATGATATTACTTGATTACCACGTTTAGTTGTCAAGTAATATAAGATTACGGCGGTAATGTCAGAATATTGGGGTAATGTCATATGATATTACTTGATTACCACGTTTAGTTGTCAAGTAATATAAGATTACGGTAATCTTCAAATACTAATAATAACTACTATTGATAATATTAGAGGTAATCAGATTACCTCCATTTTCTTAGGTATTCTGAGATTACCAGGATTATCCTTTTTTATTACAATTTTTTCCCTTATTAATGAAAATTTTGGATAATAATGCCCTCATTTTAAAATAAATTTACATTAATATTCTATTTCAATTTTACCCTTGTTTAACTAAAATTTTGGACAATAATGTCCTTGAATTTAAAACAATTTACAAACCACTGCCACTCAGCCACCACACCACTGCCACTCAGCCACCATCACCACTGCCACCCAGCCACCACCGCCTACAGCGGCCAACCACCACGGACCACCTCGAAAAACTTGCCGGAGTCCCTAAAAAAGAACGAGTTTCGATGGGAGGCTCCGGGAGTCATCGTTATGGCTGTTTTCGGCCATATTGATGGCCGAAAACGGCCAGATCTGGCCGAAAATGGCCAGAATAGATCTGGCCATTTCTGGCCATATCGAAGCCTCTTGGTCACGGTGAGTTGCTAATGGGGACTTTCGGAGACTTCCGGCGGTGGTCTGCGGTGGCGGCAGGCGGCGGTAGGAGGCGAGGGTGATTTCATAATAAATTAAAGTTTTATATAAGCAGGGGTGTTTTAACTAAATTTGAAATATTGGGGGTTAAAAGAAATTATTCGAAAATTAATAATAAAAATAATATTATATTAATATTTGTAAAGGGGACAATTTAGTAATTTAAATAACATACCCACCAATTTATTCCCCATAACCAACCATATTAATATAAGATACCCACCAACTAACCAAACACATTTTCTTAAAGATTCCCCGTAATCTTTCAAGGAATCTATCTTTCCAGTAATCCAATATTTCAAGTAATCTAACATTCCTGAACCAAAAGCCCCCTTATGGCCATTAATTGGGCCAAATTGTAAATATTGGGCCATAGGCACATGTGGGCTTTTAGCAGACCTTAAAGAAGCTCTTTACTGGGCTTGCTTAGGACACCCACACACCAACCAACATTGAGCAATGGAGGCGTTGATGTTATAAACAAAAGGTTTCTCATCGCAGCTGCTTCAATCTTCAAAGGGTTTAACTTTTCGGTTTTTTTGTGTCGAACAAGGAATCTCTGACCACCATTCATTTCTTTATTTCACTTCAACATGTTTAGCTCTTCGCTTCATATATCTGGTTTGTTTTGATCATATATCTTCAAGGCATTAATTAGGTCAAAATATGTTGTGTTTTTTAGAAAAATCTTTATTCTTGCACAACAGTGCGATCAAATCCAGAGTTTCTGTTGTACGAAAATTTTTACGTCTTGGTCTCGAAATGGACTGATTGTTGACGATATTGAAATTATGTGAATGTATGTGAACAGGTTTTGAATGATGGCAGATGAAAACTTTAATGCTGAAATCCTATCAAAGCAAATGGAGCTTCGGAGCTGTAGATGGCAATGAAGAGGCCTCTGATGTTTCTTCTTCAGTACAAAAAGATGGAGATGTGCAAAAGGATGAAGATGAGGGAAAAGGTTATTTAACGTTATGTCTTTTGCTTGTGCATAATACCTTTTTTTTTTTTCATGAGAAATGACCTTGTTTGGTATTGGTTATTGATTATGATTTTCTAATACTGACTAGGTGAGTTTGTTCAATTTCCATTGATGACATTTCATGTTGATTATTAATTAATGATATAAAATATGATAAGTAAAAATGTTTCAAATGCTATTAGTATAATGTTTTCGTTTTTAGGGATTCCCTCTTTTGTGTTAGATTCTTTTGATGTGGCAGCCAAGAATTAGTATTTGTCAATTGTTTTGCTTGAACACCTTCATGGAATTGTGAATTCTTTAGGGTTTTATTCCATGACTTCACCACATATATCTTGCTCTTATGAATTCCATGCTAGGCCCCGTTTCATGTTTATTTGATCTTCATTTTCGTGAGATATATGCTTTGTGACAGTTCTGATATTGAGCTAGCTTCTGCAGTGGTTTTTCTAGAGTCTACAGATTGTTGAACTCTTACTGCTTTTTGTGAATTGATGCTCTTGCAATCTTGTCTGCCTCTGTACAATATCAAGGGGATACTAACTTGATCATTGCTCAATATTTTGTGATGTTTTAGTGAGGACATGATATGGGGAAAGCATAAAACATTAAACATCAACAACATTAATTGACTTAGCTTAAGTGAGGAAAATAAGAAGGCAAACCTCTCTCTTTCTCTTTCGATAAATATGTGATGGTGATACAGGTACATAGCATCAAGAAACTTACAATGATGAGTCAAAAGCGCTTCTGATGCCTGCTTTTTGTTGGTCCTGCAAATACATTTTTGTTAAATTATTTGCTTACATTTTACAGCACTGAACCGACTGGAGTTATTATAAATTAGCATATACACATTAGCTATATGATGATACTTAAATTGTGATTGTTTCCCTACTGTTTACTTAATCTACTTGAAAGATACCTTTATTGCATTATGCAGTTAGTACCTCTTCCAAGGGTTAAGTCCTTAGTGTTAAACTTACCCCTTTGTGGTTGAGTTGTCTTAGTTTAATAAAACTGTTGTCTTTATGAATTTTAATTCGATAAACGGTTGTTGCTTTAATGATTTCATTATTCAAATTTTCTGCCACTTGACTTATAATTTCACATGTCTGCATCTGAAAACCTTTTTTCTAGCAGAAGTTTCATCAAAGAAGAAAAAGAAGAAAAACAAAAGCAAGTGAGGGCCTGTATCCTGCTTTAATGTCCTTTTGCGGTCGGAAAAATTGACTTGGAAGTTAATATTGTCTGCTCTTTAATTCTCAGGAAAAAGAAGGAAGTGCCTTTGCAAACTGATCCACCTTCTATGCCTGTAATTGACCTTTTCCCATCAGGGGAATTTCCTGAGGGTGAAATTCAACAGTACAAGGACGAGTGAGCATACGTTGTTTCCCTTTGATTACAATTTCTGTTTTTTTTTTTTTTTAAATTATTTGGGAACTTGATATTTAAATTTGATGCCAATATGTCAGTAATATATGGAGGACTACATCTGAAGAGAAGCGAGAATTAGAGCGCCTTGAAAAACCAAAGTACAATTCAGTTCGTCAAGCGGCAGAAGTTCATCGCCAGGTTGCAATATTGTCTTAGATATACTAGTATTGCTGCTTGATATGAGAACCAATTATGTATATGTTGCCTTGAGTAGTATGTAGGCATATTTTGCTTGCATATCATTTTGCTTTTTTGATATTCACTTGAATTTATGTTACTTATTATTAGGTACGAAAATATATGAAGAGCATTGTGAAGCCAGGAATGTTAATGACTGACCTCTGTGAGACATTGGAGAACACAGTCCGTAAATTAATATCAGAAGATGGTCTGCATGCTGGCATAGCTTTTCCTACTGGATGCTCTCTGAACTGGTGAGTTTTGTATATATCATATGAGGATACTTCTATGGCTCCCTCTTTACTTGAAGCTCTTTCTCATTGCCAGGGTTGCTGCTCATTGGACACCGAATTCAGGAGATAAGACTGTGCTTCAGTATGATGATGTGATGAAGTTGGATTTTGGGACTCATATTGATGGTAATGCCATGTTTTCTTCATCTGCCTTTCCTGATCCTGTCAATATGATTTGCTACCTTTGTTGTTATCCGTTAGGATCCCACATTGGAAAGGAAAAGGGTGGGCATGTGGGTTATAAAGGGCTTGGGCACCCTTCCTTGGCAAGCTGGTTTTTTGAGGAAAGTTCTATTTAAGCCCACAAAAGGTCCACTGCCAACCCAATTCCTATCAAAGGCCTACTGTCCAGCCAATTCATATCAATTTGGGAGTGGGTTCCTATCATTATCTTGGTGTGTGGCCTTATTTATTGACTGGATTGAGTGTTTGGTTTTGCAGGATATATAGTTGACTGTGCCTTTACAGTGGCATTCAATCCGATGTTTGATCCACTGCTTCAAGCCTCACGTGATGCAACAAATACGGGTATCAAGGTGATCTCCTAATTATAATATGCTTATTGTCTAAGCATGTTTGAACATCTGAGTATTTTGTTTCTAAAGTAGTGAAACCATGCATATTCTGCGAGTTACTATTACATATTTTAAAGTAGTAAAACTGGGGTAGGGGGTGGGGGGTTGTTTTATAGGGTTGTGGAACATGCAAACGTTTTGTTTCTAAAGAAGCGAAACTTTCTGCTATTCTAGTTGGTTACTATTACATATTTTAAAGAACTTGTATCCACTTTTTTGTGGTTCAACTATTGCATATTCTTCTCCTAATTAAACTGCAAATCCTGAATAATTCTAGAACCCCTATCCCACCAACTTGCTACTTGATTGTTTAAGCTGATTTCTGCATGCAGCTTGCCTTTTTTAACTCTTTATGTTTTTCATATACAAAATTTTGGCTTTCTGAGAATTGTCTAATACTCCAATAATATTACTATTAGAACCAAAAATGTAGTACAATCATTTTTTTCTAGTGGGAGAGTTGGAAGGGAAAGGAAATTACCTTTTTTGTAGTTCAGTTGGATGAAATTGAAAGGTGTGGTTTTCTCTGTAGGCCTAGCTGAATTTATTGGCCCTGACGGAGAGGTGGAAGGAAATTTTTTTGATAGGATGAAGTATCTTCCTTGCATATATTATTTTGCTGGGGCCTAATACTTTGCTTCCCAAATCTGTCTCTCACTCATATATAGGACTGCTGCTTTAACCTCTTTGCCCATCCTTGTCATATTTTTTTTTTCTTTGTCCTACCATTTTTTTCTTTGTGTTCTTTGGGCAATAGTTGCCGGGCTTGCAACATACCTACTTTTCCCAATTATTATTTGGATAATCCATTTGAAATTTACTGTCTTTAACAAATGTGTAGTTGATAATCTGATTGAATTCAATGATACAAAGTTCTTTACCAAAACTTAAACAACGTCATTGATAGTTGTTCTATCATTTAGGAAGCTGGGATCGATGTCCGACTTTGTGATATTGGTGCCGCAATCCAAGAGGTGATGGAATCATATGAGGTTGAAATTAATGGAAAGATGTTTCAAGGTATAGTCTTCATTGGAAATTGTTTTTTATTGAATGTTTAGTCTTCACATGTGTACTGGTAAGTACTTCAACACATGATTTGAATGGGACGGTTGTTGGTATCCATGTTTCCGCAGATGGTTCATTCTTCTTGACCTCTTTGCGTATTAGATTAACATTCATACTAATTGAATGATCTTGTAAGTGGGCTTGTTCTAAATGGTAGTGTCATCAACATAATTGCTTTGAAATGAAATTCTAAAAGTTATGAAACTGATTGCATTTGATTATTGTATTAAATCCAATTTTAGTTTGGGGATTTTGATATTAATGACATCCAAACGCATTGTAGGTTTTTTTTTTTTTTTTTTTTTTTTTTGTAAGATTATTGTACAAAGTTATCCAGGTGGCAAAAATTAAATTGTCATTCCAGCACCTTGTAATTTTCCTTCAAAACATGTTTCTGGTTTTGATAAAGCAGAAAAAGGTTTAAATCTTATGTGTTGAGCTGTTTTAGCTACTTCTTGGGTGATTTAACGAGAGAAAATAAAAAACTAAGAAAAAAAATAACTTTTCAAGATAGATGTGTGGAAGATGTTCTAAATTTTTGGGACAGAGTCCTTTTTGCTTCTTTTCGGGTTTGGTGTCTAAATCATTTAGATATTCCTTTTTTTTCTTTATATATATTGGATTCTGATTGCATTTAGTTTGTTTGGTGCAATTTTTTTCACTTGGCCAATGATCCCAATTATACGTGTTTTCAAAGGACCTCAGCATTAATTTGAGTAAATGGTCTTCCAGCTTGGCAAATGTTATTAAAAGCACACATTTGAATTTCAAAATTTCTATTTTGACATGAAGTTATCGCTTCTTTTACTAATTAAAATTCAATTTTTGGATGTAAGTATTTTGTTTGTGCTCATTCAATTAACAGTAATAACTAAAATGAAAGATTTATTAGAGGAAGTCTTTGTTGAATAAATTTCCATTTGTCTTGTTACAGTGCTTTTAGTGGAGTTAATAATTGACCTACCTTGTTAGTCAGCTTGCTAGTCGAAGACGGAATGAAAATAACCAATTTGCTTAACATTTATGCTTGTTTCAAAATTTTGGGTCATCTGGAGTGAAAGTCCTGTTTTAGATCAATTCAACATTCATGGTGATATTTACAGCAGTTATGAACAAATCCAATTTGATCATAGATAAATGGATCTATTTTCCATCTCATAGGTTTGGTTTTTTCTTTTAAAACTGTACTTTTGTGCTTGTATATTCTGCAGTCACCAGGAAAATCTGGTTCTGGAAGTTCAGGGTTTTCCCCTGTTTTTGTTTGGCTAATGGATTCATGATTTATAGTTTGCATGTCTGCAAATCTCACATATAATAACATATGGTTATTTGTTTATATTTAAATTGACACTAAAATGTTTCTGGCAGTTAAAAGTATCCGAAACTTGAATGGGCACAGTATTGGGCAATATCAGATCCATGCTGGAAAGTCTGTCCCCATTGTAAAAGGAGGGGAGCAGACAAAGATGGAAGAGGGTGAATTTTATGCAATTGAAACTTTTGCATCTACAGGTAATTGTTCTTTTTGACTGTCGGGGAATTGATGTAATAAAAGAGCTAGCAGGAATATGCATTATGACCTACAGTTTAATTAGCTGTTTATTGTTCCATGCAGGGAAAGGATATGTCAGAGAAGATCTAGAGTGCAGCCATTACATGAAAAATTTTGATGTTGGTCACATCCCGCTGAGGTTGCCCAGAGCAAAGCAACTGCTAGCAACAATCAACAAGAACTTCTCTACATTAGCTTTCTGCAGACGGTATTTGGATCGCCTGGGAGAGACCAAGTATCTTATGGCACTGAAGAATTTGTGTGATTCTGGCATTGTTCAGGTACTTCTCTCCATTTAGCATTACCAATCTTTAATGATATTTATAAAAATGAACTGTGTTAACATTCATTTTACTTAACTCCAATTTCCCACTCTTTTTAACTATTCCATGTTAACTTCAAAACCTGAATTCTTCCAATTGCTTCAGTTGCTCCATTGGTTCATAAATTTGGTGTTAAATATTTATTCATGTTCTTGTGGAATTAAAAGTATATTTCAATAGTTCAGTTCTTGTACAAGTATTAAATTTCAGAGATGAGATGAAACCTTTGACACCCTATATCTTTAAAGAAAGGAAAAAAATTGTCATGCTCTAATTTTCAAATTTCATAGATTGACTTGCAAGCACTGGGAAAGGTGAAATCAGAATATAATGGTCAGCTGAAGTAGATCAAATAGAATAACCAAGTTGGGAGTTTATATTACAGTATAATGTTTAATACCGAGATTATTTTGATATTTCTGCAAACCAACATCCATCTGGATTACACAAAAGATTTTTGCTCTGAAGAGCCATGATACTGTAGGATACTATGATTGGTTAGTAAATTCTTAAAACTTACATACCATTGTCACTGTGTTTTCTATTGGCAGCCGTATCCTCCTCTGTGCGATGTTAAGGGGAGCTATGTTTCCCAGTTTGAGCATACCATCTTACTACGGCCAACTTGCAAAGAGGTGATATCCAGAGGTGATGACTACTGAAATGAAAGGGGTTAAAATTTTGTCAGTAACTACATGCATGATAGCTGTGTACCATTACCTTTTAGACTGTAAATTTTCAGTTCAGTTTCTGAGTTTAATTTGTTATGATGTTAGCTTTTGAACTTTGTTTTCCGATAAATTAATGCGCTAGTGCTGGATAATAGTGAAGAACAGTATCTATAATGTTATGGTACCTTGTTGTGAGTGTGTTGGTCAGCAGAGACACAGGATATATGGGAATGTTTGAAGTGTTGTTGGGAGCACAATGGCACTACTAAAATAAGGATCAGCTACGAGTATTGGTGTTTTATAGAATGATTTACTTTGTTAATTTTAAAATGTTTATTCTTCAATATCCGTTGTGAGTTATTTTACTAATTTGGATCTAAAGAAAAGGATGGTTTGGAAGTTGCTAGTTTGCAAATGTTAATTATATGGTATCTACAACTAGATTTTCTGGTAACATGAATTGCAATTCACCCAACCTAGTCTTATGAGTAACATTAATATGTTCACTTAGGGTTGATATGAATATTGTAGGCATCTATTTTTATTGGCAAATAATCTTATGGGGGCATTTGGTTGGCGGTAATGTGAGATAATGAGGATTATGTCATCTTATATTACTTAATTACGATGTTTGGTTGTCAAGTAATATAAGATTTCGGTAATCTTCAAATACCAATAGTAGTTACTATTGGTAATATTGGAGGTAATTTGATCATCTCCATTTTTTTAGGTATTCTAAAATTATCAAGATTATCTTTTTTTATTACAATTTTATCCCTTATTAATAAAAAATTTGGACAATAATACTCTCATTTTAAAATAAATTTACATTAATATCCTATTTCAATTTTACCCTTATTTAATTAAAAATTTGGATAATAATGTCCTTATATTTAAAACAATTTATAGACCATCAATGTCACCCAGCCACTACCACCATTGCCACCCAGCCACCACCGTTGACAACGGGCCAACCACTATGGACTATTGTCGAAAAGTCGTTAGAGTCCCTAAAAAAGAACGAGATTTAGTGGGAGGCTTTGATAGGGTCGTTTCTGGCCATATTGATGGTCGAAAACAGCCATATCAGGTTAGATCTGGCCATTAATAGTTAGATCTCTGGCCATTAACGGTCACAGACATGGCCATTAACGGTCATATCTATTCTGGCCGTTGAAGGCCAGGTCTATGGCTATTAACGGCCAGATCTCGTCCAGATCTGGTCAACAATGGTTAAGGATCTGGCCATTAACGGTCAGAACTGGCTTGATATGACCGTTTTCGGCCATCAATATGGCCAGAAACGGTTATATCGGAGCCTCTTGGTCACGGCGAGCGATTGACAAGGACTTTTGGAGACTTTCGGCGGTGGTTTACGGTGGCGGCAGGAGGTAGGGGTGATTTCATAATAAACTAAAGTTTTATATAAGCGCGTGTTTTAACTAAATCTGAAATATTGGGGTTAAAAGAAATTATTTAAAAATTAATAATAAAAATAATATTATATTAATATTTGAAAGGGGGACGATTTAATAATTTAAATAACATACCCACCAATTTATTTCCCATAACCAAACATATTAATATAACATACCCACAAACTAACCAAACATATTTTCCTAAAGATTCTCAGTAATCTTCCAAGATAATCTATCTTTCCAGTAATCCAACATTCCCAATAATCTAACATTTCTAAACCAAACGCCCTCTATGAGTAATGTTAGTCATAATTAAATCTCACAATCTCTAACGTAACAGTTTGTCATTTGTCAGTTCATAAAATGAGTTTCGTCTATTTGTATAGGTCTTGTCTCCAATGACAAATTGTCTCGTGGAGGTTGTAAAAGAATATTGTAAGATTGAGTTGTAGACTTATAATTTTATATTATGACATTTGATATTACTCATTCAATATCAGAATGATTAAAAACATATTTCATCAATAATTTTAACCTTATTGTAAGTTAATTATCAAATCTTTTAAGGTTGGAGAATAATTTTGTCTGAATTTGTCATCCTATATTATTACTTATACAAAAATATCGATTAAACGTTACCTCAACAATCCTCCGAGCTCTCAAATTTTCCTCTCATCTTTTTTTGGGAAGAGTGTGACGGTTAGGGGTGGAACAAATGGGCCGGATTAGACGGGTCAACCCTAACCTGGCCCGCATAAGGCGGTCCAGGTTGAACCCAACCTGCATGCAACCCCCAGGCGGGCCGGGTTGCTATTTGTTTACAATAGCCAACCCGGCGGGTTGGCTTGGGTTGGCCCAAAAAAAATTAAAAATTAATTATTTTTTTTCAAATTTCTCCCATTTTTTTAATTCTTTTAATTAAACTATTATGATTGAACTCTTACAAATAATTTTACACAATAATATTAATCTATACTTCTAAATCATAAATATTAAAATGTATAAAACTTCGTAATATTTGACACATTGTTATTATTATTTTTTATGATACGTAAAATATAAAAAAATTAAATACTAAAGTCTTATTCTTAAATTTATATGTCTTGTATAAAATATAATTCATTTTTATGCTAAAGTTTCATCAATTGAATGAATAAATCTAATTTTTCTTATATTACAATTTTATTGTATTAAAATTGAATTAATATTTAAAATGTTAATAAAAAAAATTAATTTAATTGAATTATTGATATTTGAAAAGTTAACTAAAAACAATTACATTTATTCATTTATAAATCGTTAATTATTTATTTGAAAAGTTAACTAAATAAAAAAAAAAAAAAAAATAGGGTTAACCCGGCCCGACCAGCAGCCTAACCCGGCAGGTTAAGGTTGGAGGGCCGGGTTGGGCCAACCATTACCCCAAAAATGACGGGCCTAATCCGGCCTGCCTTTGTTGACAAGCGGGTTAGAACCAACCCACCAAAAGAAGTAATCCACCACGGGTCGGGTCGGTCCGGGTCAAGCCGAGCGGGTTACTTTTTCATCTCTAGTGACGGTGTAGAAGTAGAAAAGTAGCAGAAGTTTGATAATGATAGTCGTTTAACTGTTTATCTAGTCCAACCCAAAGCTTGCAACAATACCCGCCACTCGCCGTTAAGGAGAGTAAGAAGAAGAATACTTCAGATTAATTAAACGTTAATGGCAACAACTACTATGGCCGTTGGAGCCAACATTTTGAGAGGCGGCGCTGGCAGCGTTCGTATCCAGCTCCTCCTTTCCTCCTTCTCTTCCGCCAAATTTTCAAATCCATCCCTTTCCTTTTCGCGCTCATCGCTAAAACTTACCACCATCCTCCAAACTCCACGATTCTTTCACTTTCACTGCCATCATCCTAACATTAACACCAATCTCTCCCTCTCATTTTGCACTTCTCCTGCTACCACCCCAGACACCGCCGCCGCCTCCACCACTTCGTCATTCTCAGATAAGGATAAGGATAAGGATAAGGATAACAATGTTAACATAAAGGATGCAGCCAACATGCTCGACATAAGGGTTGGGCGAATCATCAAAGCTTGGAGACACGAGGAGGCGGATTCGCTTTACGTGGAAGAAGTGGACGTGGGTGAGGCTGAGCCCAGAATTATATGCAGTGGTCTCGTTAAGTACATCCCCGTTGATTTCTTGCAGGATAGAAAAGTAATTGTGCTTGCTAATTTGAAGCCCAGAAATATGCGAGGTGTGAAGTCTAATGGAATGCTTTTGGCTGCTTCTGATGCCGCTCATGAGAATGTTGAGCTGCTTGAACCTCCTGAGGGTTCACTCCCTGGAGAAAGAATATGGTTTGGTTCTGAAGAAGATAAAGAAAATCAATCTGCTCCGGCCACGCCTAACCAGGTTGATTAATTCTCTTCAAATTTTATAATGTTTGATTTGAGATGTTGCTAATTGCATGTTCTTCTTTTATTTTATTTATACTCTAATTGTATTGAAACCAAACATATGAATGGCGTGTTCATTTGGTGTGCCGTTAGGCACATTTCCTTATTTTCATATTATGTTGTGTTGTTCCTGGCTACTTCAGTTGGTTCACACAAGGTGGGAAGGGTGGCCTCACTCTCAAACTAATGGCAAGACTCTTCATTTTGTTCTGTTCATCTCAATTGTGAATGGGTTAGTCTTAGATGGTTGTCTTAGATAGAGGATCTTGTTTTTTGTAATAAGTGTACATATAATTATACAAATCTGTATCACTTCACTCTTTTATGGTTTTTTGATACCCCAATCAGGTTGTTTTGTACTGATTGAGCACGTCTTCTTTTTTCTTTAATATATTTTCAGTTTCTTATCAAAATAAATATAAAAGAATACTATATTGATTCAGTTAAATTTGATATCTTGGAAATATAAATCAGCAAGATTCCCTTTTTTTTTTTTTAATTTGAATGACGGATTGGCTTGATACTTCTTTCATTAAACAATAAAACATTGGCAATTAAGAGGAATGTTATTGAACTGTCATGACATGGTTGATGTCCTTAAAGCTGCGTTTTGTTTTGCTTGTAACATTTTGCAGATTCAGAAGAAAAAGATTTGGGAATTGGTTCAGCCTCATCTTAAGACGGATGATTCCTGTATTGCTATGCTTGGAGAGCAATTAATGCAGACTTCTGCAGGTGCAGTGATGAGCAGATCTCTGAAGAATGCAAAAATCAGCTGATCAGCCTTTGACCTTCATGTTACTTACTCCTGCACTGGTTTTTGGTACCCATAAATCCTAGATGTCATATGATTTTCTTTTTTCAGGTTTAACTGGAGAGGAAAGTGAATGTAGTATTAATCATTCAAATCTTCAACAATGAGAAGCATTTTGTCAGCTATTTTACATTGTCATCATCATGCATGATTGTGTTGCATTATCTTTGTTATGATTACTGAGAGTTTAATAAGAAAATGTGGTTTTGGGTCCTTGAAGTGCCATCATGTATGCCACTTGCTTGCTCATGTTGATGCTTCGTTGAAAAGTTATTAAGCGATCATTATGGTGCCCATTTTGTGTTTCTTGCTGTGTCATTGCTGCTTTTTTCCTCTGTTGCATAGATTCAACCCCAACACTGGCTAAGGTAAGGGATGATAATGTACTTTTTACTTCAGATAAAAGCCCGAATGTCTATTTCAAAGTTATTTCAGATTAATTGGTGTACCTTTTTGCATATGAAGTCTTAGAGGTTAGAACTACTCCTCCCCATTCTTTGTTTTTTTTTTTTGGTAAACAGAATAGCCCGCATAACTTACAGCCACTACTGCCCTTCTTCAAGCCTCCTATAAAGCTACCACCCAAAAACATTTTCAGTTTCCACGAGTTTGTGGATTTTGTAGAGACTGTATAGATTTCAGAGTCAGTTGTGGTATATTTCCAATTTGAACCAGAAAGTTTGTCAGCCTTATGACTAGCTTCAGGGATGTGCCTTCCAGAATCCAGTTAATGAAGCTATTAATTCAACAAAACGAATGTGTGTCACCTTCCTGTTACCTTCTCATTTGAGACTCCTTTGCTTTTATAAACCTTAAAGTATTCATAACCTCATTGGCAAATAATATATTATAAGTTACAGAACAACAATTTGCAGATCTCCATTTCCATCCAACAAACAGTACTATATGCAAACCCCAAATGTAGTTTGCTCTAACCAGTAACCAGTAGGGAGGTATCAAAATCCCAATTATCTTATTAGTACAAGCAAGTAATAATAATATAATTCAATACATTCCAATTGCAAATAGAATTATAATTCAATTTGAGTAAGGCACCACCGTCAATGGCTTCAATGGGCTTCAATATTAGGAGCTGAGTTGAACAATTCATCTCATATATCTGTAAAAACAGAGAAGATATCGCCGTGGATGTAGTCATTTTCTACCAAGCTAACCAAATAATAGCTGCTCTGCACCTGTAAATATATTAAGAAAGAAGCATTATGGTGACTACGCTACATGAGCGAATAATTACTAATATATGAGATGACATATTTTTAAAATTAGAATCAAACCTGTTCAAGCAATTTTCTTGATAAGTCACCCTCTGGGTATAAGGCAGCCCATGATCTTGACCATATTTCAAATGCCTCGTCCTTCCACACCACAAAACTAGCAGGATCAACAACAGTAGGTTGGATAATCTCCCTCCCTGGGAAGACTCCCCAAGTTACGGCATTCACATTTGTTTTACTGCCATTGGATATCCAATTCCCTTCTTTGTTTACAGCCATATAAGTTATAAATGGCAGGGCCTTGCATTTCTCAACAAGTACATTCAACTTCTCCTTAGAGCAGAAAAACTCTAGATAGGCCTTCTGGTAAACATATCCTCCTGGCCCACCCCATCCTGCAAACACATGTCATTCATTGTAAAACAAGTTAGAAATGCGAGACATGGTTGTGCACACTCCGCTGTGGAGCAAAATTATTGAGAAATGGAAGGGGACCAGAAAAAACATATTAATTCAAAAGAAGGCGAAAAAGGTCATAAAAACAGGATTCCTTGTGAACAGCCACAAACTGTTGCCAATCTCAGTAAAATAAAACTTTTATCTAAAGTCTCACTAGCTTAGCAAAAGTAGCAAACAAATTTAATATAGGTAGACCGAATACAAAAACAAGTAAATCTTATGTAATAAGATAATTTTCAAAAGAGCACGTGAATAGACAAATAACAAGCACACATCTGCACACGGGTTTTACTTACCAACAATTGGTGAATCAGATCTTTCCCCGTTAACAGCAGGTTGGCTATTGATTGTGAGAAAACCTTTCAAGTTGATCTTCCCTAGCTGTTCATTTATGATTTTTGTCTCTGGCTGAAGGTCTAACTCAGACCAAGGACTGCTTCTCAACTTCCCGAGGCAGTATTTCTTAAATTTCTGATATATAACAATCCCAACATAACCATGTTAACATGTGCAATTATAATTATTTGATTCATGAAGAAAAAATACAATGCATCAGAGATGAAGCTTTACTTCACAAATATCTTCAATGCTTTTCAAGGGGGCAGCCCATTCGTCGCGAAGTCTCTTGTCACGTGCACGTGGACGCATGAACTGTTGAGAAAATTATAAATTGAGTCAAACATGGCATATTCACAAGGCATAAATTAAATGATAAGCAAACAAACACTGCTCAACTATGTTGTGGTTTTTCATCATAACAAGATCAGATCTCAAGTACCATAATCAAACGAATAATTAAGGATCATATCACATGAAAAGAGATACCAAGAATTGAACTATAATATAAATAGAAGAATGCAACACCTACACGTCGATATAATTTACACAACCATGGCATTTTACATTCAAGTCATGCATCATCTTAACAGAAATCATAACAGAGAATTCCAAGAACAAGTGAACATAGAGCCAAATTCCAAGGGGTAGTGTCCTTTATCATTATCAGACAAAGAAGTGTGGACTGTGGCGCACTAGATCCACAATAATGCATAACACCAATCACAGCACTTCTACACATGTATTCACTCCAAAAATATCTACAACAGCGCATACAACACCTTATTAAGAACCACTTTTTCTTTGTATCATAATTTGTAATTCAACGACTTTAAGAATATATTTGTCTATATTAAGAATAATATTCTCCAACAAGAGTATCAAATACAACAATTTCTTTTCTTCCCATCACCTATCGCTGTCTGTGATACCCTGTAATTTCTGTTAATTACATTAAGAAGGGCTTTTTTTTTTAATTTAGGGGGCAAAGTGTAAAGACTTGGAACTTTGAAAGAGGAAGGTGTCACAACCGAAAAATGTTCCAATTAGTATAAAAGAGCTAGAGTTCTCTCATTTTGGGCAAAAATTGGCAGATGAGGAAGAAGAAGAAAAGACGAAGAAAAAGAAGAAGAAGAAAGGAGAGAAATTAGGGAAAATCCAAAATTTATTCAAGGTAAGTTTAGTTCATGCATGCATTTAATCCTAAACTCCAACATTTTCTATTTTCTTCCTTTAATCTTAAGGAGTAACTAATAATGGGTTGATTTGGGGACAATAGGTGAAGAGGAGTAAGGATCCGAGTACCTAAGCTAAGGAGGAAGAATTCGTGAGTGGAATATTATAAATATTGCATCAAACTCATATTTTAGAAAATCATCTTTTGTGTGTTGATCATGGATGCATTATATGTGTGAGATTGGTGTAGTTGAATGGAAATCCAACCATTTTTGGAAGGGTTGGTTTGTTTGTATGGGTTATGGCAGAGTTAAGAGTTGTAGAGAGAGAGAGAGAGAGAGAGAGAGAGATGGGTTTATGGGTTGAATTATGGGATCATGGAGATCTCAAATTCAAGTGTTTTGTGTGCATTGTATGTTTAGGATGATTCATTGCATGCATACGGGTGTGTTGAAGTGTAGATAAGGTGTGGAAAATGGAGGAGAAGAGAGAAGGTTGAGAGAAAACGCAGCTGGGTAGAGAAGAAACCCAGACTTGTGAAAAATCTGGTTTTCGCCGCAGCAAGGTAGCTTCTAGAAGGTTCTGGGAGATTTCGGGAGAACTTCGCCACGGCGAAGCACTCAGGGGGTAATTTATAACTTTTGAAATCTGTCATATAGATAGGGGGTAAATACAAAGATTTAAAAGTTGGAGGACCGAACTGTAATAAGTAATAAATATGTGGGCACCTCTTCCATCGTTTTTGACCTGCTTATGATCTACTAAAGGGGTAAATCCGGCTTGTAATAATTACACGGGTTACGAAACAATGCCGAATAGTATTACGGAGCTGCGAGATTTCATTATCAAGAACATTCAAGATTTCCATCACCACGTGTCTCATCCATCTTATCAGGTCTCGTAAACCCTATCCGGCTTGGATCAATAGTGTACCATTTCCGCCTGGGTATGTAAAGCCTTAATTCTGTATGGTTGTGCATGATGGATTGGATCGAAGACCAACTTTCGACAGTACCCATCCCCTCCAGACTTTAGCTAGCGATATTATTTGACCTCATCTGTGCATAGAGATGGCCCGTACTATTAAAAAATGACGAGCTTAGACCATCCTACCAGAACAGGACAGGCGCCTGATGAGCTCCAAGCAGATTGACACCCCGAGGATAGATCGTGGGTGGGACTTGACATAGACGCCCCAAGGATAGACTATGGGCGAGATTCTACGATGGGATGCCATATCATGACAACCCGAGGATAAACTGTGGGTCAAGTATGGCTAACTTAGGATGATTTTAGTCATCCCAAGGATAGACTGTGGATGGAACCACCCCAAGGATAGATTGTGGGTGGCCTAGTGGATTGTCTGTATTAGAGACCTACACTTAGAGGTGTGGTCCAAGTCCCCTAGGTACTAGGACGGTGGTGGCAAGTATGAGTACATATATGGATCAATGGTTGTGTGACATTCATCAAGCTTTTTCATGAAATATATTTCCCTTTTCCAAATATTTTCTCTATAAATGTATTATCCACTCACTGGGGCTTCCCAGCTCACTGTTTTATGTTTTTCTCCCCCCAGCGCTTACTACCAGGATTGTGCAGAGTTGCTTGTATGCTCTAGGTTGGCCTACGGATGCACGTTCTACCTCATGATGTGTGTTCATTTTGTGTACTCTGATACTATATTTTGTAACTGACTTTCTATAGTTACGTTTTCTGAGACTATCTGTACATGCATGGATAACTATTTTACTTGACTTATGTTTTAATAAACTGATTTTACAAATGACTTTACTATTTATTCACCTTCCTTTGAGGTTCTTGGGTCCCTTGGAGCACCCGGATCCGATGGGATAGGGACTACCCAGGAAAGGGTGTGACACTGTCTATCTTCTCTCATATCATCTCTAATTTTCCTCTTGATCTATGTTTTCTATACTTGAACAAAAACATTGAGCTCACACACCCATCAAATTAGAGCATATAGACCACATGAATAAAAGACTAACAGAAATATATGAAACAGACCAAAGAAACACAAAAAAACATGAAGATTAAATATGTGCATTGCCGTATCTGTTTTGGGTGTCATTTAGGCATAGGTTTCAAAATCACTGAAATCAGTACACAACAAGATTTTTATCGCAACAAAGATAGATTGTGAATTAAACAAAAGCATTAAATTTTTTTCAAAAGAAATATACTCAGAGATTGAAGAAAAGAATAAATTTGATTAAAATTTGAAACTTATCATAGTATCTGGAAGAAAAAGGTTGAAGTTCAATGATCACATCTTTACCTGATAGTCAGATAAAGCACCATATGATGGATTACGAGAATCACCCCATCGCCCATTAGGATACTGGTCCCAACCTGTTGTCCTCAACAAGTAACTCTTTGGACGATTAGACCTGTAGCCATAAGCCAGAAAATAAGATGTCTACAAAAGCTTACAAATTACCATGTAATAAAATGTTGCACCGTTAATAAGCAAGTTAATTTTGGGCCAAATTTTGCAGCCTAATTTACATGCTTACCAAAATATAGGACGAACATCTTCTTTAACACGGAAAACATTAGTAGGGGGTCTCCAAGGTAAGGGTCTGGAAATTTTGGACTCTTCAATCAGACCAAGATTCTGCAAATGTAAGTCTATCATTAGGAAGGACCAACCTTAATGATAAAATATTAATCACAAACGGCATAGTTCAAATCTGAATAGGATATCAGAAAATAACCATTAAAATGGCTAATGCTGACTTCTCCATATTTAGTGTATAAAGATGCAATGTCTTGATCCCATTAGCTAAGATTTTCTTGCACATTTCTGTTCCAAGGTGAATTCCATAGGCTTTAACAGCTTCTTCATTGTCTTTGATAGGCTCCAAGGCAGCAGTAACCTCAGCTGGTATCTACAATATACCATCAAATGCAAACTTAATGTCAATAAAGATAGCAGAACGACAAAATTCTATCAAATATTATCAACAATCCACAAGATGAAGGATGAATGCAAGGAAGCACAGCCAAGGTCAAAATTCCCAGTTAATCACTTTCTCCAATTCTATCCATTTCAAATATGTGTAGAAATTGATGGTAACAGCTAATATTTCACAATTTTTAGAAAGTTCGGCTAGGTGAATATGCAGGAACTACCATACCTTTGTTTTGCAAAAACCAGTCATTCGCAAGAAGCCCTTGTAGTTATTAATTGGCATAATTCCAGGTACAATGGGGCAAGTTATTCCAATTTGGTGACAGTCATTCACAAACTTGAGAAAAATATCAGTATCATAAAACAGTTGAGTAACAATCAGATCTGCACCAGCATCCACCTATCAAATCAAACCATCAGAACACTAAACTCAATCCATCACAACTTCAATAGAAACTCTATAAATCATCAATTCAAAACATGATTAGCTATTGACTATGAGTTAATTGTTGCAAGAAATGCATATTAGTAAGACCTTTTTCTTCAGATATTGAAGATCGTTGGTATAAGATTCCAAAGTAGCCACTCCATTAGGTCCAATGGCATCGGGGTGTGCCTCTGATCATCAACATAGATTATCATTATTATTAATAAAATCACAACTAATCAATCACTATTGAAAAATATCTAATTATTCAACAAAAATAACAACCTGGGTAACCAGCAACAGTAATGCCAAAGTAGTCACCATACTGGGATCTAATATGTTTCACCTGCAAAATCAGTCAACAACAATCATTCATACTAATACAAATATGTACTAGAAATCTACACCAACAAGTAACCACACTAGTCATAAGTCATATTTTGTAGTAACTATTTTACACTCGCAAACCAAATCATAGTCATGTGGAACCAAAAGATCGGCAGGGGACCATAGTAAATGTAAGTGTAAATAACTCACTTGACTCGGCAACCTTACATAACAATGGTTCAGTTAAAAATAAATAGATTTTCAGCTCCCAATTATATCAAACTACTTTATACGCTAACATTACTTAGCATCAGAAATGCAGGTGTAGAATACATACGAGGTCGAGAGCGCAGGCAAAGCCACCCTCGATCTGGACGAACTTATCCTGGCCGTGAGGAGGATCGCCACGAAGAGCGAGAACATTCTGAATGCCATTAGACTTGATAGTTTGAAGAGCGTGGTCGATCTTTTCAACAGGCATGTTAGTACAGGTGAGATGCATCATAGTCTCGACACAGATGACGTTCTGCATACGGTTAGCGATGTCGAGAGTGAGATCAGCGGTGGAGCCACCGGCCCCCCAGGTGATATCGCAAAATGCGGGATTGTGAGCGACCATACGGTCCATACGGTCGAAGAGGTTCTCGACGCCATCCTCGGTCTTGGGAGGGAAGAATTCGAAGGAGAAGACGACCTTATTTGAAGAAGTGCCATCTCTAATCTTATCAATAACCTTCATTTTGAAGAAAAAGGAAATGGCACCGACAGAGAGTGAAGGTGTTGGTCGAGATCTCTAAAGAGGAAAATGAAGAAATGTGGAAGAGAGAGTGGGATGGAGAGTAGCGTTTTATATGAGATTGGGCCACCACCAACCACGATTCTGGCAGACGATCAATTGAAATTTGTAATTAGAATGTATACTACTGCTTACGTCATCCCCGATCTCTTATTTTGTACTTCTATTCCAAAACCAAAACAAAAGGCAATTAATAGTCTCACTTTTTCCGTTCCAAGTTTCATATGTTATAATACCATATTAATTTTAAATCGGTCATTTTACCATTTAACATAGTTATATTTAATTATATAATTTTTTTTAAACAAAATATCTGAACTAGTCTTCGCACAACTCAACTGATACTATAAACGATTGATAAAACATCCTACTGTTATAATTATTTACTTAGATAGCCAAGAGAATTTTAATTATAGGGGGCGTTTGGTTGGGGGTATTGGAGATTCAACAATGCTACAGATACCGGGGTTTTTACACCGAAATTTTATACCGGCTTACGGGTCTGCTGACTCAGACCATTCAACATATTTTAAATTATTAAATTTTTTCTAATGAACTTACATGGACTCCCGTCCATATTATATGGACGGGAGTCCATTTACTACGGACGGGCGTCCTCATTTAAAGGATGTCTGTCCATTGGTAAATGAAATAAAAAAAATTAAGGACGGTCGTTCATAGGTTATGAACAGTCGTCCATACATATTGGACGAGCGTTCGTATGTTAATAGACGCCCGTCCCTTAATTTTGGACGGACGCCTGCAAATAAAGGACGCTTGTCCTTTTTTTAAAATATAAAAATTTTAAAAAAATCTAGGACTCCCGTCCAAAAATTGTGGACGGGCGTCCGTAATGGGTGGACGGGCATCCGTTTAGAATGGACGCCCGTCCATAATTTGGTTTTAAAATATTTGGACGCTTAAGTATGGACGGGCGTCCATAAGGAATGGACGCCCGTCCATTCCACGTCCATTCCTTATGGACGCCCGTCCATATGGAATGGACGACCGTCCATTGTGTAAGGACGGTCGTCCGTATATAATGGACGCTCGTCCATAAGGAATGGACGACTGTTCTTTATTTTTGGACGAGCGTCCCTACTCTAATTGAAAACAAAAATGTTGAATTAAATAACGTTTAGGTTAAAAAAATTTGGGGAAAGTGTTTCAAAAAACAATTCAGTCGCGATCTTCTTCTTCTTCTTCCATCTGCGCTCTGGTTCATCATCTTCTTCATCTCATCTGCGCTCTGGCTCATCATCTTCTTCATCTCAAAAAACAAATCAGCTGCGGTAATTAGACACTTTCGTTTTTCAATTTTTTTTTTTTTTTTTTTATGTTGGATGAATGTGTTGGATTTACATTTGTGTTGAATGGAGTTGAGTTGATAAAGAGAAATCCAGTCAATTTGGTGGGACTGGTTTGTGTGATTGACAAATAGAAGTTTTTTGTTTTGGGTGTTTTTGGCTTGGAAAAAGCTAACATTTTTGTTGGTTGGGAGCAAATAGAACTGGGAAATTTGTAACCTTTTTTGTGTTGTTCTCTGTTGATTATGTCTAAAATTTGTAGTCAACCATTGCATTGCTAGGCAAAAATTAGTGTGTCCAGTGGACAAGGTTAGATGATAGGGGTTGTGTAGTTCCTACCGTATATAATGTCCCTTAGCGTCCTCATTCAAACTTGAAATCATTCCCCTTTTATCTTGAGACCAAACTTATTCGATCCAAACATCAATTTTCTTCCTAGTGGTAAAGAAAAAGTAAAATGGGCAGTGTACTCATAAAGCAGAGAGTCCAAGTAACTGTCTGCAACTTTGGTGTTAAAGTCTTGGCTCCACCATTGCAATAACTCAACTTCATAGTGGTTGTTTTTTTAAAGTAAAAGTTTTGGTTGCCTTCTAATGTCTTCTTTTTTCTTCCTAGTTGTTCATGGTGTAGTGGTTGCTTTTTTAAAGTAAAAGTTTTGGTTGCCTTCTAATGTCTTCTTTTTTCTTCCTAGTTGTTCATGGTGTGTTTTGTTTGTTTTTTAAAAGTAAAATGGCCAGGTATGTTGTTAGGCTCTCCAGTTTTAGTTTATGTCTGTCATACTCCTATAGAACCATTCACTATAGAAAAAAACCAACTAAATCCAAGGAAAGAGGGTAAAATAGGGGCCTTGTTTTTGGTCGGCAGAAGGTGTTCCAAAAAAGTCTTATACCTGCATGAAGTTTCAATGTTAACTCATTGTATATTAAAGTGAAGGAAGAATTATCTACATCTCCAACTATAGTATATACTAAACTTTGGCCTCTATGAGCCAGACAATAACAGTCAACAACGTTTTTGGTAATACCAAATTAATGGCTCCATCTTCAGTCATGCCTGCGGCCCCACATAGGAGTCCCTCGCGGTGCCCACACAGGTACGTGACTCACTAGGTATTGTCCCCCCCCCCCTTCCCTTCTCTTAAGGGATTTCTTTTGTCTCCCCCATGGCTCGAACCCATACCCAAGGGGCTATAGGCAAATGGGAAGCACCATGAGTACCATCAGGCTAGAAATCCCTTTGGGGGGGGGGGACAGTACGTACCTAGTGAGTCACGTACCTGTGTGGGCACCGGGAGGGACTCCTGTGTGGGGCCATGCTGTGTGATCATGGCCGGACGGAGTGGGCCAACCATGCTATCTGTTACATAAAAAGGCGCATTTTTTATGTAATGGACCGCCTGGCTCGAACACCCTGACTGGCCCGGCCACGGAGTTCACACAGCTCCCTACGTGGTAGGTACTATCCCCCCCCTCCCCCCCCTCCTTTAAGGGATTAGTTGGCCTGATGGTACTCATGGTGCTTCCCATTTGCCTATAGCCCCTTGGGCATGGGTTCGAGCCGTGGGGGAGGCGAAGAAATCCCTTTAAAAGGGGGGGGGGGGGGGGGGGGGGGGGGGGGGGGGGGGGGGGAGGGTGGGGGACGGACAGTACCTGCCACGTAGCAAGCTATGTGAACTCCGTGGCCGGGCAAGTCAGGGTGTCAGAGCGAGGCGGTCCATTACATCTTCTTATACAATGTTTCTTCTTTGTTTATACAATGTGATTGTTATGTTAAGAAAGCAGTGGGTTGTTATACAATATGATATCTTTTTATATTTACTAGTCTGATGAGAGGATCAATATTCTAGTGTTCTCAGTAGCCTAAGAGTCACATTTGATCAAAATGTTGCATTTTCTTGAATCAGTATTTGCTTCTGCCAGTGTTGGTTTGGGCAGATATATTGGCATTTGGTTTTGATGAAATACTTTGTTGTTTTATCTTATGTTGCAATTGTTATAATGGGATATATATTATTCCTATTCAATATATTTAGAATTGTTTTAATAAGATTTCATTTTTTTGGAGCATTATATCAATACTTTTTTAATTAGATATGTACCTAGTTTTCCAATAGGGTTTACAGAAATTTAAAGTATGTAACTCCATATCAACGTGTGCAATTTTGTCTTATTTGGATGAGTACATCATTTCTATCCTTGTCTCTGTTATGAAAATTATGATATAGTATGGCTTCAGTTGTCAATCTCATATTCTTAATTATTTTTCTAAAATCAATTGAAGGGTGCAAAACAGTAAAACCATGATGGTGTATTTTAAATATCAAGCTTTATAACTTATTGGAAAATTTAGAAAATTAGAGGACAATTCCCCAACTTGAAGATTTTTAAAAACTTGACCTTCCTGTGCTGGCTCCACAGTGAGTGGAATTGGTTTTTGAAATCCATTACCTGAACGATTGACTCATGCATAAAATTTTGGCACCGACTGAACTTTCTTACTAAACTTGACCTTCCTGTGCTAGCTCCTCAGGCTTGTAATTACTTACATGTGTATAATGTGATCACCAACAATCATAAGCTCCTCCCTAATAGGATTCTTCATTTCATCAGTACGTAAATATCTAAGCACAAGCACTAGATGTGCACCAAATCGGATCATCTGAGGATCACCATGAGGCTTGAGGGGAACCGAAGTGATTGTTCAGCAAAATGATTCAACCAGCCAAAAAAATAAAATAAAATAAAAAATAAAGAATCCAGTGAATTTGAAAAATAAAATTTAAATGCACTTCATGACTAGAATATGTCGGGCTGTGTACAGTTCCATCAACTGTGAAGGGTATTTGGTGAAGTGAGAACTATTTTTACATCTTGCTGATGTCTTGGAAAAATATATGTTTAGCTTATCAGTGTCTTTAAAATTTCTATCATGAATGCAGCCAGTGAAACATTTACAATCCAACAAAATATGTTGCCATTTTGATTAATTTCTCTTTCGATTGTCCGCAATGTGATTGATTTTGATAATATACTGTTAAAGTGGGATACATGGTTATGTTGTATGTGCTTTAAAGTTTAAGGTTAAGATTATGGTTGTAATATTGGTTTAATGTCATATATGTTTTGTCATATAACATGAATTACTTATGGATATGTTTTTTTTCAAGGTTTTAGAAGAAAGCAGAAAATGGTAAGAGCAAAAAACACAACCACTCCGAGTGGAGGCACATCATCATCTGGAGTCCAATTTTGAGACGTGCAACATAAAAAGCAATACAAAGAGATGACAAAAAGAGATATTTGTCTTGGAAGAAGTTTGGATTTAGGATTTATAACTAGTTTGGGTTTAGGTGATGAGATTAATGGTTGGATCCGTAATTTGAAATGGGAGCAATTGGCGAGTATTAGATATGACGGATATAAGCATTTGATTTACGAGTTTTTTAGTAGTTTGGAAGTTGTGGAGACAAGTACTGATGATTTACCGCCGTATACAATGTTTTTTAGAGAATCAGAATTGTGTAGTGAGGCCACAGGACTTAGCAACTGGATAGGGATTGATTTTGAAGGTTTGGATAACTACCCAGAACGTGGGATTCCAAACAAGCTTGGAGATTTTCTGGATAGGGGGGTATTCATCCACTAGGTGTAAATACAAAGTTAGGAATCCTGCCATGAGAGTTTTTCACAAATTTCTGACATTCACATTTAATGGCAGGAAAGAAAC